AGCGCATCTTCGGTTGTCAAGACGCGACTTCCTATATAATACCAAAGTCTTTTCAACCATGGTACTGTGTTCATTTCACGTCCTCACACCACACTGTATTCATGGAAAAGAAACAAAATGTTTCCAAGAAGCTTGTAAACAAACTTCCTGCAGTAAAGAAGCCGGACGAGTTGCTCTTGAGTTGCTCTTGAAATGCCCACATTCCCTGCTCATACCCACTATTAATAACGACGAGAGAATACGCCTTTCCGAGGCCAAACGGCTGTTCAGTGACGAGAAGGATCAGCTATAAGCTGAATGAAGAGGAGTCCAAGAACTTGGCATCCTTGAAGAAGATGAAGATCGTCAGTCAGGGTTTGGAATGGGTTCAGCGTAGATTCGGCTACTAGTGACTGGTTGATAAATTTGCTGGTATATTGAGTGACATTCTACCTGCCTTTGGCTAAAATCAATGTTTTGATAGGCACTGAACTCACGTTCGTCGACAAGTCGATGGTCGCTTCACACAGTATGGGAAATGACATATATTCATCAGAGAACTCGGAACACTATACTTCATTCGTACCAACTGAGCCTACTGGCTGCTCGTGCGGAGAGCCAGTCACGTCAAACACGAGAGCACATATTGCGCGACTGTCCGCTATTCACACGCTAACACATTCTTGCGCGAAGTATCCCACAACATCGTACTCAACGAGATCCTGGGTACGGAGAAGCAGATAGAGGTGCTAACAAAATTCAAGAGTCTGACGCTTCCAAGAAGGAGTATCTCATATTCGTCAACATGAAGCCTTCGAACTATGCAGAAATGTCTTCAAGATGTCGAGTGCAATCTGCTGGCAAGAAGAAGAATTTCAAATAACAACATAAAGGCCAGCGCTCCATCTGTCTTTTTACTATCTTCTTCAGAGTTGATTATAATCTGGTTCCATATCACGAGGATCAATATTTTCTCTTCTGCAATTGTCGTTGCTGCTTTAGCCTCATCAATCTCTGCCCGTGCCCGCTCAGGCTGACTCGCACGGCTAGCACTAAAATTAATGTCCCAACTTTTGCAAAACTGTCAAAGCATGCATTGGCTGCGCTTTCGGGATTTACGTGAGTATTGGCAATAATTTTCCTGGATCTGATAGCACGACCCACCTGCATGGCAATACCTCGGTGTTTTCTGCATAGCGAGTCATGTCTCTGCTTTCAGTATCATACGCCATTGGCACTGACACGCGAAATTAATATTGATGATTTGTAGAGTTATTCGACGCGCCATCACACCTGGGATCCAGCTTACGATTTATGCTTATCCGCGCTTACTTACTGCCATGTATCTTTTCCAATACAATATTTATGGAGCTTTTATTGCCAATACCTTGCTACCCTGACCAAAGTCGAAGTTTCTAATGGCTTGCTGAGTTGGTAATTGGGATCGCTACTGTGGCAATCTCACGGCCGCGGAAGCCTTAATTTGAGTGGAGGAATATCTCGTACAGTCAATATGATACCGACTAGAAAACGTAACATATGAGTGAGCGATATCGTCCAGCCAGCTTGATGCCACCGTGACTTCGATCACACACTGCACGATCTATCCAATGACCCGGAAATACACCCTATAGCTAGAAAAATTACTTCCACGCCAAAGTCGTCTGCCCATCAAGGTTGACAGAAGTGTTCGACGCCACCAGCTCTTCAGTGGCCTCCTTATAAGTTCATCCTTTAACCGGCGATCCCTGCAATGAGACCTGGCTAGGCTTCTGCACGAACTGACAACAGTAGCAGAAGAACTGTCATGCATGCATTGCTCATAACCCAGAAATGAGATTAAACACGGCTTCCTCATCAGAATAGGCAGCACCCTGCCAATAAGACGATCATGGCAATTGATATGCTGACTGACATAGTTACTTGCATTGTGTGCATCTTTCATGCGAAATGCCTGTATGCGCCTGCGAATGACAAATTGAGAGCTGACGTCGTTACGATGGAAGTGATTTTTCAACTTTCTATACCCTTTTGACAATATGCCTTAGTCTTTGGAGAACGCTGCCCTATTAGAGACACTAGAAAAGTGTCTAGAGCCTGTTGGAGGACCTAACAGCCGGTAGCAAGTATGAATTCCCTCGAGTGATGACATGACAAGATATATCCGTAGCTTTATCTTACAGAATCGTAGCACCTTTGTTCTACTTCAGTGCAGCTATTCTCAGAATATCAATTTTCTTGCTCCTTGAAGTGATTTGTGTTCGTGTTAGCACACTATATCCTGTATGAGACTAATTGCGATTCACCGTGACTAATCTTGTTAGCCTCTTGGCCTTGGAATCGTTGATGAGCCAGACTCGCATGGCTGCCTTCTCTGCATCAGTAGGAGTCGCTGGAATAGTTGTTACAGGCAAGATCGAAGCTGTTCCGAGAACGTCACTCGGGTCTGCATTTTCAGTCACATGACACCAGAGGTCATCGTCCGTTAAGACGAGCTGCGCCTGCATCTCCCAGGGAATGTAGTTGTCTGCTCCTGTCAACGTTGGTACGTGATCATATTTCCCCATTATCGAGGCGACACGTCAGAGAGGACTTGAATTAAAGATGAGTTGCTCCAACGAGAGGGAGTTTGTATCTTTCCGGTTTCCGTGCTGTTTAGGACACAGGGCTCATATGAGCATCAACATGAGATATCGACCAAGTACATATCGGAAGTGTCGACGAGAATGAGCATCAACTTCTCAACTTCGTCGCCACGCTGGCAGGCTCAGTGCAAGTTCAAATGATGAAGCGATGAAAGACCGGTGATTCGAGCCAGCATTGTGCGGTTACCAAGAAGAGAATTGTTAATGCCTGCAGACAGGTTATTATTCAATGCTCGTAATCAAATGAATACGCTCCTGCAGGTTCTGCAGAAACTTCTACCATCTGACAGCAATAACGATTCTGCCAAATCGATCAGGGTCGTTCCCGTAAGTATACGCAGGATATAAAAGCTAGTCGTCGTCCTACAATGTTTCCCCATCCGAGATCCCCCTCAGAAGATTCCATATCACTTCGCACAGAAAATGCGTTTCCCCCACCTTGGCCTTGTTGTTGCTTTGACAGCATCTATGTTTGTCAGTGCATGCTTCGATAGGATACAACTTGCGTACAAACTTCCGATTGCTGCAGAGACATGACCTGTGTCCATACTGCTGTGAGTATGAGCAGGTCGCTGTGCAACCAGGATTCAATCACATAACTCACCTGAGCGCCTTAGTACGTTGGTTGGCGCTGCCTGATAAATGAATATTAAGCCAGCAGCCCCAGGGGCACGTCGTGACAGTGAGTCATGTCATGTTCCTGCTTTCGCTCTGGTATCATAGTTGATGGTGCAATACCTAGTTCGAAGCCAATCAATGCAGTTTCTTTTGAACAAATTTTCGTATTGCTCGAGCGATGTGGATATTAGAATTTATCTGAAAAATAGTCGACCGTGCCTATGTTTGCTCGTGGTCCACTAAGCTTGAGTTCGAGAGGCTGTCGAAACGAGTGATCATTGTTGTTGTTGAAGATTAACATTGGAAAGCCGCACGAAGATGGAACCCACTGCGCAGCTTGAATCGGTTTGTATAACGTTGGCCTCGAAGGACTAGCCTGAGCTCGCGAATCTCTACCTCTCTGATGGAACCAATGAGATGCCGATCGTGATTCGTGACAGACGTGTTATTTTCTGGTATGCATTGCAGTCATACGCCGGGAGCGTGCGTTGTGACAAAAGTAGGCGACAAATATAAAGGTATTTAAAGCCATGTATTGTTGGGATCAACGTAAACTGTCGACCACATGAGAATGCCTTGAATTGTCGAAGAAACACCCAGTTTGCAAGCACGCGGGCCTAGTAGCCAAATTAGCTCTTTTTGAGTCGGATATATCTAAGAAAAAATACACAAGCACGGGCTAAGCCCAAGATGGACTCAGCATGAGATGGACGTTGCAATGTGCGGAAGTGAAAGGCAATTCGGGATTGGCGGGAAGTGCGAATGTGCACTTCTTTGAACCTCGCAATTGTAAATTTCGGAACGGGACGCTCACACCTGGGATGCAGCTTACGGTTTATGCTTATCCGCACTTACTTATTGCCATGCATCTTTTCCAATGAAATATTTATGGAGCTTTCTGTGGTTTGAGATCGAAAACACTAGTTATTTTCTCTGAACTATCTACATCTGAAATATCAGTATTTATACTATAGTACGCTAATAAAAGATAGCCGGTCCGTCATGCTAAGTAATGTGGTCTATGGTCCGTATTACAAAACATTACATAATCGAGAGGTTCCGGTCAAGTTGCGCTAAGTACATTCATAATCCAACACTTTCATTGCCAATACCTTGCTACCCTGACTTGCTACCCTTCCTAATGGCTTGCTGAGTTGGTAACTGGGATCGCTGCTGGGGCAATTTCACGGCCGCTCGAGTACTAATGGGAAGCCTTAATTTGAGTATAGGAATATCTCTACAATCAATATGATACCGACTAGAAAACATAACATATGAGTGAGCGAGATCGTCCAGCCAGCTTGATGCCAATGTAACTTCGACCACGCTGCGCGATCTATCCAACGACCCGGAAATACACCCTAGAAAAACTACTTCCACGCCTATGGTGGATTTTTGGTTACGGTTCGATTTGCCGCTATGCCGAAAGGATTTTCAATGTCCGATCGTTGCTTGTTTCGAGTAAGTATTGCACTTTATTTTATTTTATTTTATTCGCCGATGTGTACATATACCCTTACCGCTGGTTTGACTGCATATCGAAGCCTGCGTTCGCATCGGATCCCAGCAAGGACGACCTGGTGTTCTCAGGTAGTATAATCGAGCGCATCTGATACTCAAATGAATTAGACTCAGCCTCCTGAAAAGCACCGCTCACAATGGGGACTCAAGTCTACCCGTGGTCAAGAGCGTCAAACCTGCAATCGAACATGTTCGCCAATGATTAATGATTCCCCAAACAAGGGTCTCACGACATGAAGTACTGTCCCCACTGCGATTTTGGTGTCGATTTTGTCACGAGTCCGATAGGTCGGCTTGGGCTTGACCGAGGCGGCCCGGACCCACATAACAAGCCAGACATGTGGTGCGCACTTCGTGATTACGACGGTGGCCTGGGTTGATCGATCATCGGTCGACCTTGTTGAGGGAACCTATATATCATTGTTTGAAATGTCTCTGCAAATAAATGCTATAGTATGCACAATCTTCTATGCCAATTTGCACTCCTTCTCAACATCCGCAAGAAGTTGGGCCCATTTCCCTCCATGCCAAGAACTGATCCTGACCCACTCATCCTCCTTCAAAACTCGTTTGAACCACAGCAAACGACAAGCCACGATGATGTCTGCATACGAAAAAGTGTCGCCCATGAACCACTTCCCGTCTGTCTTCTGGTACCATTCATACGCAGTATTGTACCCCTTCTCTAGTAGGGCCCAGTCTTCACCGTAAGTCGCATCCCAAGGCAGCGGCACGTCTATCGAACGAACTCCGATGAAGAACTTCGCACTAGTGGGACTCAATATTTTGTGGAGCGTGCGAAGATAGTCTTTATAGCAGGTATAATGAGTCTGAAATGGGCGGAGTCGAACTCCCGTATCAAGGATTCTGAGTTGTTGGGGAAAATGGCCTTCTCGGGATATGTCTTTTCGAGGTAGGAAGCAATTTCGAGGGAGTCAGTGATGAGGGCACCGGTGTTAGGGTCGCTGAGGACGGGGACGGGGTAAACATCCGTTCCGTCTGAACGTTTGTTTGGCTTTGCACCGATGGCCTTCATAGCGACCGAGATGTCTGAGTATTCGACCCAGACAGTCACAAATGGAAGACCCTTGTAGCTCAAAATGAACCTGAGGCGTAGTAGACTTTGATCAGATATCAAAGCGACATACAGAACATAAATTACTGACCTCGGCTTTGCGGGGTTGGGTGACCAGTTATTGCCTGGTAGGTTGGAGAGGGTATCATACAGGACAAGTGTCTGCGTCATGGAGTACTAAGATGTGGGGTTTGAAGTGCTGCGGCCAATCTTGAAACTCTTTTTAAAGGCTGAGCGGCTTCATTGGTAAGCATCTGAGCTTGGTTAGCATCCTTGAACACTGGAACTATAACTCTTTGTATAGAGGCAACCGGGCAGCGTGGATTATGGGCGATGTAACGCCGCAGTTGGAATTTTGGAAAGTTAGCAGCCAGTGGTGTCATCGGATGCTGTGGAGTGGCTGACTTCCTCTAACGTGTTATGGTAGGGTATGAATCAGAAATGCAACCAAGGCGCATTACGGTTACCTCCACACATAGAGGTACAGTATAGGGTTGGTACTAGTACTGATCGATCCTTGATGCGTACTAATAGGCCTAGGACGTTGAGTCATCGAGAAGAGGTTCACGTACGGGTGTCAAATGCCCGCCAGAGGTTATAATTGATCAGCTCCCAGCAGCCCACTACACACATGTACAAGGGAGGCAGCCATTCCTTCTTTGTGGTCTGCACTTGCGCATTTTGTGGTTGTATAAGTCTAGATGACTCAGCCTGACTGACCGTGTGCACCTGCTTATTTCTGGCGACAAAGTCACACCAGCAGGTGCACTTGAAGCCTTGCAGCAGAATACCTGGGTGCACCTTGCTTGCCATGGCAAGCAGGACCCTGCGCAGCCTTATAATTCGCATTTCGTCATGAGAGACGAACATTGACGCTGCTCGATATCATGAAGAAACGTCTTCCGCAGGCATTCTTATCGGCTTGTCATACTGCTGTAGGCGATGAGGAGATGCCCGACGAAGTGATCCACCTAGCAGCTGGTATTCAGTTTTCAGGGTTCAAGAACGTTGTTGGCACGCTGTGGGAGGTCGAAGATGCTGTCGCGAAACACGTCGTCGAAGCTTTGAGTATATGTTTGGAGATTTGAAGAAAGGTTGTGTCATGGACTGTACAAGGGCAGCGTGGGCACTAAACTGTGCTACGCACGCGGTGAAGACGAAAATGCCACTCGAGCAGAGGATGGTATTTGTTCATATTGGTGCTACGTCGTATTGCTGTCATCTCGTATATATCTCAGACTTGAATTTGGTTGTTGTGTTTCTTTGTATTCGAATCCATGGTGAAGAGCTTGAAGGTAGCATAAGGAGATGTGGGTAACCCGGAAAGGAGATTAAACACGGCTTCCTCGTCAGAATAGGCAGCACCCTGCCAATGAGACGATCGTGGCAATTGGTATGCTGACTGACATAGCTACTTGCCTTGTGTGCATCTTTCATGCGAAGCTGCGAATGACAAATTGAGAGCTGACGTCGTTACGATGTAAGTGATCGAAGTGTTGTGAGGAATGAGATCGGTGCGAGTTCGGAGGATAATTGTCTTGGCCTTGGAGTCGTTGATGAGCCAGGCTCGCATGGCTGCCTTCTCGGCCTCCGTAGGAGTCGCTGGAATAGCTGCTACAGGCAAGATTGAAGCTGTTCCGAGAACGTCACTCGGGTCTGCATTTTCGGTCACATGATACCAGAGGTCATCGTTCGTTAAGACGAGCTGCGCCTGCATCTCCCAGGGAATGTAGTTGTCTACTCCCGTCAACTCTGGTATGTGGTCGTATTTCCCCATTATCGAGGCGACACATCGGAGAGGACTTGAATTAAAAATGAGTTGCTCCAACGAGAGGGAGTTCATATATTTCCAGTTTCCGTGCTGTTTAGGACGCAGGGCCCATAACCTGTAGAAAGTACACTCAGCGTTGGTGAACAACAACTGAGGTATGCAAACACGATGGGGACGAGATACTTATGGGATAAAGACGAAGTGGCGAGATTGCGCCCCATACCCCAAACATAATGCTAATCAGTCCAAATGCAGAAAGCGATTCTCCAACATTCTCCGTCTCAGCGCAGCAGAAACTCTGGAACGTGGCGAATATGCGGGGTTCCTTTCGAGCGTGTAACGCTTGGATAAATAGCGAAAATCGGCAGCAAGTTTTCATGAACACTGTCGGCGACCCTCTTGATACTTCGAGGAGAAACAAATTGAAGGTGTGCTCCTTGGCCCTGCAGGAATTTTGGAAGCCCCTATACAATGGGATTGATCAACCTGCAGCGTCAGACTACAGTGAGTTTGAACTTAACCTTAACATATGGGTGACCTAAAGGAGGCCTATCGGACTTTCGCCCTGCGCTGCATCGCGCAAGTGTTGGATGGGTGCAAGGGACGGTTATTAGTCACTAGTTTTTACGACACCGTTCCTTGTCTCCGAGGAAGTATAGGGTCATCGGAGTATGACATGAGATAACTTGATATCGTTATGGGCGTCTAAAATTGTAAAGGGAGCTGTGATGGGCTGTGACCATGACTATGATAGTACCAGGGACTCCTCTTCGACCAAGAGCGTGTCAAGAATAAGAATGAGCATCAACACGAGATATCGACCAAGTACATATCGGAAGTGTCAACGAGAATCAACTTCTCAACTTCGTCGCCACGCTGGCAGGCTCAGTGCAGGTTCAAATGATGAAGCGATGAGCGAGAGATTGGGATGAAAGACCGATGATTCGAGCGAGCATTGTGTGGTTACCAAGAAAAGAATTGCTGGTGCCTGCAGGTAGGTCCTTTAACAATGTTCGTAATCAAATGAATACGCTCCTGCAGGTTCTGCAGAAACTTCTGCCATCTGACAGCAATAACAATTCTGCCAAATCGATCAAGGTCGTTCCCGTAAGTATACGCAGGATATAAAAGCTAGTCGTCATCCTACAATGTTCCCCCATCCGAGATCCCCCTCAGGAGATTCCATATCACTTCGCACAGAAAATGCGTTTCCCCCTCCTTGGCGTCGTTGTTGCTTTGACAGCATCTATGTTTGTCAGTGCATGCTTCCCCAAGGATCAAACTTGCCTACAACCTCCCGATTGCTGCAAAGGCTTCACCTGTGTCAATACTTCTGTGAGTATGAGCAGGTCGCTGTGCAACCAGGATTCAATCACATAACTCACATGCGCGCCTTAGGTTGGTTTCATCTGCCTGCCAGTTGGAATTTGAGCCAGCAGCCCCAGGGGCACATCTTGACAGTGAGTCATAGTACTGCTTTCGCTTTGGTATCATCGTTGATGGTGCAATACCTAGTTCGGAGCCAATCAATGCGGTTGCTTTTGAACAAATTTCCGTACTAGTCGAGCGATGTAGTTGTTTGAATTTATCTGAAAATAGTCGACCGTGCCTATTTTTGCTCGTGTTCGAGAGGCTGTCGAAACGAATGACCATTGCTGTTGAAGATTGACATTGGGAAGCCGCACGAAGATGGAACCCACTGCGCAGCTTGTATAACGTTGGCCTCGAAGGCTAGCCTGAGCTCGCGAATCTCTACCTCTCTGATGGAACCAATGGGATGCCGATCGTGATTCGTGACAGACGTGTTGTTTGCTGGTATGCATTGCAGTCATACGGGAGCGTGCGTTGTGGTAAAAGTAGGCGACAAATATAAAGGTATTTACATAAAGCCATGTATTGTTGGGATCAACGTAAACTGTCGACCACATGAGAATGTCTTGAATTGTCGAGGAAACACCAGTTTGCAAGCACGCGGGCCTGGTAGCCAAATTAGCTCTTTTCGAGTCGGATATATCTGAGAAAAAATACACAATTGCAAGATGGACCCGGCCTGAGATGGACGTTGCAATGTGCGGAAGTGACTCGGAAAGGCAATTCGGGATTGGCGGCAAGTGCGAATGTGACCGTGGCACGTGAGTGCACCTGCGACGCAATTGGAACGCTCACACCTGGGATCCAGCTTGCGGTTGATGCTTATCCGCACTTACTTTTGCCATGCATCTTTTCTAATGAAATATTTATGGAGCTTTCATTGCCAATACCTTGCTACCCTGACTTGCTACCCTGACCAAACCCTTCCTAATGGCTTGCTGAGTTGGTAATTGGGATCGCTGCTGGGGCAATTTCACGGCCGCTCGAGTAATGGGAAGCCTTAATTTGAGTAGAGAAATATCTCATACAATCAATATGATACCGACTAGAAAACATAACATGAGTGAGCGAGATCGTCCAGCCAGCTTGATGCCAATGTGACTTCGATTACACTGCGCAATCTATCCAATGACCCGGAAACACACCCTAGAAAAACTACTTCCACGCCAAAGTCGTCTGCCCATCAAGGCTGACAGAGGTGTTCGACACTATCAGCTCTTCAGTGGCCTCCTTATAAGTCCACCCTTTAATCGGCGATCCCTGCAATGAGACCTGACTAGGCTTCTGCACGCCAAGCACAGTGATCGTCTCCAACTTCTGCAGAATCGTATATTCTCCCTTGCTCTCAATCTTGAGTGTGCCTTTCGCAGCCTGGAATGTGAGGCTCCGACTCGGTCCAGGTGGGAAACTGATCCCATCGTCTACATATGCAGTACCGAATGCTGTGCCTGCTGCGTTGAGAGAGACGAGCAGCGAATAGGGGCCTTCGCGAGTCTCATAGATGGTATACCCGGGCTCTTGATGCAGCAACTAGAGCGGAGTTGTCCCGGATGTGGACGTTAATGTGACTGATAGGAGCGTCTAGTGTTGTATTTCCTCCAGACGTGGCATTCACGGACGGCGTGCGTGTACCAGTCGCGCCAGATGACGCTACCGCGACCTGGGAAGATACCTATAAGATAGTATGTTAGTCAGGGACGTCATTGATGAGATTTGGACTGTTACCGTCGACGGTCGTGGCTCCTGGAGTCAGTACTGGAGTCACGAGAATATCACTTCCAATGAGCCATTGCCTGTCCACTGTGAAAAGCTCAGATTCTTCGGGGAACTCGTAAAACAACGCCTTGACAGGCGGAAGACCAGCCATGGAGGAATTGGCAAAAAGCGTGTACTTTTGTATGTCTACTGTCAGCCTCACGAACACTTGAAAGAGCGCATACTTACCCAGTACGGCAGTAAGGAGTATCTAACAGCAATGGCGATGCGGGATGCATTTGCTACGCTTTCCCAGCGGTAAGGCTCTTGAGGAAGGGCAGCATATATATTGTGGTTCCTGTAAAAGGGAACGAATGCCGACAGCTGCATCCAACGGTTGCACAACTCCTCATCGGTGTTACCATCTGCGTCATTCGTTAACCCAAAAACAGTTAATATTTTGCAAATACTTACTGAATCCACAGGTATCAGCGCCAACCATCGGAATTTGGTAGATCTGGAACTGCAGAACGCCCTGAATGTTGAGGTACAGATACTGCCACTTGCTGTAGTTGTCACCGAGCTAGAGACGTTAACATCTTGTCCTATTCTTTCAAATAAATTCAAAATACCCAATGACCAGTCCATTTTCCCGCAGATGGAAAGGTTGATCTGCTGATTAAGAACGGACGTTTTCCAGGAATGACAGATTGAATCGCAAGGTGCGTTGTCTTTTCCTCCATTAATCCAAACATATTGTGCACGTCGAGCTCTGCGTATCCGCCGGAGTGGGTCGCATTCGTCGCCAGAGTGTTGCGGTTAAGGGATCCAATGGCTGTATTCCGAGTCGGATCAAAGCCTTGTTATAGGACGAATGAAACTTACCATTATGAATAGCATATGGCGGGCTGTTGAGATTGACACCTTTCTCGCCATCAGCACCGACGCCGCGTTTTTCAACCACAGTCGTGGTTGAGCTTGTGCATGAATTTGTGGAGGTGCCGTTGATAGTCATGTTCCCACTAGGTCCCCATTCCGTCTCATTGTAGCTTTATCAATCATTATTAGTGATATTCAACACTTCAGCTCAAAACAGTTGATTTACCATTCAGGGTATCCAGTGACGACCATGCCAGCCACGCTCATGGGAGCAAGGGCAGAGTAGTTCGCACCGGTCCCACTTCTCGCCAGTTAGCTTCAAACCAAAAACATACCATCTCGCCTTACCAGGAGTCACTACAGAAGGAACTTGGTTCGTTCATGTCAAGCCAAATACCGGAGAATTCGACGCCAATTTCAGTCCAGTTTCTAAGAGCTTCGGTCCATACAGAGAGTATGTTTTCACTGAACCAGTCTGGGTAGACCTAAAAGCACGTTTAATCGTCAGTTGTATGAGGTGTTCCACATGTCACGAGTGACGAACGGTGTATCCAGGCCACACTTGACCAAGGTACAGGGACCCATCTGGATTTTTGATCCACACATCTCTGCAATGCATTTAGCGCTTTAGCCTGTCATCAGGCGCAAAGAACTGACTCTTCAACGCCCCGTGTGAAAGGATCATACTAAATTACAATACGGTCAGGAAGCATACGACTTTAGCAGCATGTCAACAGACTTACGACGTCAGTCGAATTTACTGTGATAGCAATACCTACATCCGTAATGGGGATATCTAATGACGAGATCGATCAAAATTGGGAGGGAAAGAGTGAAAGTGCACTTACAATGCTGGTTATTCGCGGCCTTTCACTGGGGTGAGAACTGGGAGAGCCTATGTGGAGAAATGCTCACCAAATCTCGAATGAACGCGCGAAGTTCATCCCCAGGGAAGCTTACTGGGTCAGTGGTAAAGTCGCGGTAAGCGTGGTACAAGTCGATATCATTCCATTGAACTAGCGCAAAGTAAGGATCACGAGCAACGAGCGTCCAAAATGGAGCAAACCTTCCAAGGGGATACCCGCTGCGCGCATCCGCGCAACATTTTCTATGTCATCACTGACATTGTGGTATCCCCATCTGTATGACTTAAGTGAGTCTATTATACGCAGATTGCAATGCAGATAACATCACCTGCAAAGGTGGAACCCGAAGCCCCATGCTGGTTGCCACATAGGGTACCCAATGACTGAACCGTACTGAGCAATTACTTCTGCGTCTGAGGGTCCAGAGAAGAAGTAGAAATCCATAATACCACCGATTAGACGGTATTCGATTAATGACACCTTAGAGTTCGGGGGCGTCTGCAGGAAGATATCTGAACCCGCAGCACTAAGGAATGTTATTAACAGATAGAATCAGGATTTAGTTGCATTGTATACTTAAGCAAAAGAACACCAGAGGCCGAGGCCTTTCCAGTAGTCGCATTGTACCGATGTTCGACGTAGATTGGATGGGAGCCATACCTAAACATGATCGTGAATCATCACGTGAGAATTATTTCTAACCATGTGACCTACATGTTTTGATCAATGGGATCTGCAACATCGCGAGCCCAATGCGTCTGAATAGTGCCTACGCCCCCATCCGTCCCAATGTCGCGTCTGAATCCACTACTAGCAATGACCTCGCCCAAACCGTAGATGTTGGTGCCATACGGCAGAGCGGAAGCAACCTGATAACCGTAAGCCATATTGGCAGCCTCAGCAGAATGATGGATGCACACCTGGAGGTATTGATCTTCAAATACAAGAGGGAAACCATCAAACGCGGTGCTTGGGTCAGATGCATTGAAAGGTGGAATAGGAGTCGGTGGCAACGATGAAGTTCTCGTGTCGAACAATGGCATTGCGCCCGGATCAGAGCGTCGTGTGACCCAAAATGCAAAAGGAGCTGCATCAAAGTTGAATAAAAGATCGGATTTACCCGTGTAGGATGTCGTTGGCGCGGCAGGCCGTTCGATCACCGACTCGGGGATTGTGAATTGTTGGTTTGCAGTATCATAAATCTTGACATGTAAACTAAAACCGGCCATCAGCGCTGTACTTGAAAAACTCGGGAATCAATATACGTGGACTGTGATTGATAAGTGACTTCGATTGTGAGGTTCGAAATGTCTCGTCCAAAAGCATTGCATGCTGGTCCAGCGAGTGTGAGCTGAGCGGTGAGACCAATGTCAGACTCGTGAAGCGACCCTAAAGTGTATCCTGAAACCTGCCATTGTCAGTGACAACCCCACAAAGTTTCAAATGTATTCCCACCTGGACAATCTGTGACATTCATAGAGTAACTCGGCGTTCCTGTCCCATTGGAAGCGAGCTTGTTCCCCAGCGTAGCACGCTGAGAAACATCTCCCCAGACTGTAGGCGCTAGGGTGTACAGGACACCCAAAAGCAAGGAGAACATAACAGTGAACCTGAGAGAACGATAGGACCGTCGCTGATGATGAACTTCACTGATCATCAATGATGGGTTGTATTTATACTTTTCGCTCGATATCCCCCCCCTGAGGCCGGGCCTTACGTGGGCATGTCGCGGCGGGACTTCGGGCGGCATAATTTATATCAACTGTGAGAGAGAAAATGAAAATGAATGAATTAGGTCAATGACGTACGGACCCGTATGACAAGTCCTCGTGCCAACATCACGAACCCACAAGACTAGTAGCTGGTCAGACTCCAGAGCGGTGACTTAAGAATAGATCATCAATGTCGGTTCAGTAAGTCGGCTTAAATTTGTAGTCCATCAACAGTTCCAACCTGATTGAGTCAAAGCGGAAATTGAGTACATACTAGTCGCTAAATAGTGGGTGCGGGTGACGAGGCGATTGCCATGGAGCGGGAAGTCCTGTCGAAATTGAATTTACAGTCAAGTCTCAGGCTGTGATTTTAGGCGCTGGTGCATTTTGGTCATAATGTGTCCAGTTTATCCCTGGCCAGCACCTACAATGTTGTGAGGCTGTGATTTAGTTTATCCCAACATCAAATTATTGTTACGTAACTCCGAAACAAGCTGAACATGTGAACGGCAATTCCCTCACGCGCAGTGACATACGTCCTGGTCCATCTACTTTTAAAGTCTTTAAGGCTGTAGGTTCACGCCTATGTGTCTGGAGCATTAATGTGGCCTTCGAAGCGCTGTATTCGACCTTCAAGCTTCAAGTTTCTCGAGGTCCACCATTTTACGTTAGTGAAAGCAGTGGGCCCGAATTTAGGCGGTCTAGAAGGAAGTTAGACTAAATTATAACGCGTTCATTGCAGCCTTCCGTCACAGTACTAGTATTTTAAGTTTGTTCTTCTCGGCAGCTGATTTTGTTATCCAAGACCTAGTATACTTGCAATGCACCTAACCTTTAGCCGCCTATCACAACTGTTTGCAGACGCTAGGCCAGTCCAGCATATAAGTCGGCAAAAGTCAAAATCGCGTTTCTACCACAGGACTTCACAGCACAGGACGTTGCTGCATACCCAGAAATTCGTGCTACATTGTAATTCAAAGCTTTTTTATCTTTGGCCTATCATGTGTCCTGCAAACAGCTGTAATATTACTGCTTGTACATGAACAAACTCGCGTATCGGTCGGCAGGGCTAATACGGTACTTTCCTGGCAGCGCTGCGGCCTTACTGCGATGCATCAGATTGAGACTCTCAGGCTATCTCGAATTCTGATTTAACGGCTTCGAAACGATAAATGAATTGCGTAGTTCCGTAGTTTCCGTAGCGCGGCAGGGCGTGAGTCTACTGCAGTTTATGATAAGTATCGAATGTGTATTTAGTAGGATGACTGGAAAATGTGCTACCCACAGGTTGCGTTGCTGTCGACAACTCATGTACACCAGTATGTTTGTTTGGCACAAGCTTATTGTAACTCCAACTTGAAGTCTGTCCATTCTGTGAATGAACGACTCAAACCCTCTTCTTTCTTCGTCATTCTGTTTTCGACATGCTCAAAAAGAGCAGCGTCACGATTGACCACGAGATTCAAGTCTTGCAAGCTCAAATCGCTATTCTGCAGCGTCGTGAGGATGACTTCGTCCGTATTTTGGAGGACATGGCCCGTCTCAGAGACTCAGTCAAAGCCGAGCAAGTGGCACTTGCATCTCAAATAACGGAGCTAGAGAGTCAGAAAAATCCAATCAACTGGTTGCCCTCGGAGTTGCTGATTCAAATCTTTGTCTCTGTGACGGAGGACGACTTAGACATCTCAGCAGGTCTCGCGTACAATCCATCGCCCGTCATTATATCACACACATGCCGGAAGTGGCGTAAACTCGCATTTGCCACTTCTATACTGTGGTCGCATGTTTCTTTCAGGAGCAGAAAGTGGTCCGCGTCTCCAGTATGCGCGTTCATAAATCGCTCCGGTTCTAGTCTGATCGACCTCACATTCTCTCCCCCACTGTATGATGTTGATGACCATGACGCTGCTGAGGACGAGCGGCTGGCATCTGAATGTCTACTCCACACGCTGAGCTTTCACCTCTCTCGTGTGCGCTCTATCACCTTCGAGTGCACATCCTCTGCCAGTATGGGACTCATTGTGGAACTACTCATAGATAGCCTTCACGAATTAGAGTCATTATGCTCCTTGGATCTGTCCTTCACAAGCCTTGCCCCATGCTTTTCAGGCACACCACTACTCGAACTGGATGAACTGGACAAACAGAGTCTCGCTGACACACCAAGCGTCCTTACCTACCTCCGTCTCCAACAACTACCACCGCGTGTCATTTCGCCATCTCTCTTGCGGTCTGTGCAAACTCTCGAGCTCTCCTTCCCTCAACGAAGATCCCAGCGTGCTCCTCAGTACATCCTACGAATGTCTCATGTGCACCGTTTCCTGAGTTTTATTCCAGAGCTCCAAGACTTAGTTCTTATGGAAACTACACCCCTTCGTGATGTTGTATTCGAGGAACCTAGCGAAGGACAGACAACGGACAATCGGTTCGTCGTTGTGGACCCTCTCAAACTACATAAACTCAAAAGCCTCACATGGAAGTTCGCCAATCCCCGCGACGTGTACACCTTCATGTCTTTCTTCGGCATGCCTGCTTTGGAACGATGGGAGATTCTGATCGCCAACTCCCTAACGAAACGGAACGACGTCAGCATGCTTCGCGGCAATCATGGGCACGAATCAGACTCGTTCATCCAAGCAGAGCGCCTCGGAGGCGTCCTATCCATGACCGCGCTTAAGGAGTTGTGCGTCAGCTGCCAGGATGGGGATTCCCTCGTTTCTTCGCTGCGCCAATTCTTCTTCCCTGTACTCGAGCAACTCGAGTTTGCATACGCCGGAAAGTGCCCCTCAAATTGTGACCACAAACATCCTCTCCCACGCCTTGATTATGTATTTCGCGACCCTCGTCTCCCCCACCTTACGCATTTCACGCTGTCACACCTTGATGTATTTGCCGGGCACGGGAAGCTCATGCTTGGTTACATGCCAGGCCTCGTATCATTGACGCTGATATCGTGTACTGGTGTAGACGGCGTGCTAGACGCGCTTGCCGAAGCATATGGTCGCACGATGGATGTAGAACGCAAAGAAATGCGTGGATATGGCGTTAGAGTTTGTCCGAAGTTGGAAAGGATAGCACTTTGGAGCTGCTCTGACTTCAAATTCCAAAGCTTATTTGCAGTCGTACTCGCACGTGCACAGTCTGTAGGCACCAGCGTGCTCATGAAAGCACCAAAGGACGTGCCTAGTGTTGTCTCTGCGGTCATGGGCCGTAAGATTCTACCGTTGAAGAAATCGCGCGTGGCGTCTCCACAGGGAGGCCCATCTTCTCCCGCAAAGCCACATACAATGCAGAACTCTCATGGAGTGTCATCGACATTGATTCCTATCGAGGAGGCTTTGCGCCCTGTTCAAATCGCCTGCGTCCATGTCAACGATTGTCCCCAGATCACCAAGGTCGATGCTTCATTGCTGGAGGAGTTTGGCATAGTTGTTGTATATCGGTGATCACGTTCCCGCGAAGCACGGTGATGAAACTGGACCTGTAAGTCCCTCGTGTTTGATTTTCGATGCGTTCACTTACGCGGATGATCATCGCGGAAATTTGTTACAGAACTAAGATAATAACCCTTCTAGCAATGTATCCTTTAAAGTAACTCCCAGCTCCGCATGCCAATCTTGAGGCTGCATATCATGTTTGCCGCAAGTTTTGCCACGCTACTTCAAGCCAATTTTAGAAACTCGGAGGGTATATGGTATAGCGAGGCTGTTTTCTTGATCAAAGTGGGACAATGTACCTTCCGTGTTCATCCTGTTTCACTATAGAGTATGTACTAGCAACAAAAAGGGGTATGACATCATTCCTAAGCCTTGCAAGAGCGCATACTGTGGGGTTCAAGGATCTCCTGGTTCAACATGATTTTGTGGCGTGCAAGCGGTGCACGTCCCTGTGATGCAGGATTGTTACAACAACGCCTTCAATGGGTTGGATGATCCTATTGGTCCCCACACACTTCCAGAAATAGGGTGCAGTCTCTATCAAAGAACTCGAATCTGAGCATTGCAAGCCACACAAAGGTCGACATACGTACTTCAGGGGCTACACCGAATTTAGTAAGGGCTTCGAGCACGCCTCTGCCACTCCATTTTTCGAGCTCGTTCACCCGGTCTGGGCTGATAAAGGCTTGAGAGCTTCGTGAGGCGAATACCATTTGGGCGGCTGCAGCCCTAATCACCGGTCTGGAAGAAGTATTTTCAACGAGACTGGGAAGGAGCACTTCTACATTCTCTGATGTCCCGCTGGGTATTCCCGAGAATGCTGGTACGACCGGACCCGTAGCTGGTGGCGGATTAACGGCCGAACTAGACTGTTTAACTCCACGCCAGCTGGCCGCAAGATGAAATATCCAGAACGTTTCCATCTAAGGGGGAAGTCCCCGTCTATCGAAGACAATGTCCATGATTTCGGTGAAGAAACACGTACCTCTAGCGTTGTTATACCAGATACAGCGGCTTTGAGGTGATCGATCAAAGAAGCATTATGATCTTGAAAGGACGTCTGTCTCCCCTGAGATGAATAGAAACTTTTTTCATATCAGTATGATGGAATGCGGCGAGAATATGTAATTGAAATCTACCTGTCTGTCGATGCATTGACAGCATTCGAAACTACAAGATTTTTGAGTGAAGGCGGCCGTGTTATTTCGAGGGCATCACGCAACTACCTTGGGAATGAGCGATGGCTTCATAAAGTAGTACCTTATCCGACTTACGGCGCTATGAAGGTCTGGATCTGCTGAGACCTAGTTACGTTCCGTGAGTAAACGGATGTGAAAGGAGCAATGATGATGCGGACGGGTTTGCTCAACCTGTATGGAACCTCCCAAGGATCGCCAGAAACAAAATCGAAGTCCACATTTCGGATGCAAGCGACGCTCGATGCTGGCAGGACGAGCGATCCTACGGGAAGGTCAGTCAAGCAACCGCATGACCCCAACCTTCCGATACAGCCTGTTAGTCCGATATTTCAGCGTGATTATTAAGACCGTTCCGACCTTATCACAAGCATGTCCCCAGACAGGCATTCTCTGATTTCGCGGATGAAAAAATCTACATTGGGTGCGCCCATACCTATGCATACTATGGATACTGGTATACTCTTGTAGCAACCTGTGATGGTAAGGAAACCGCGCTCCGAGTATAGCGAAAATAACTTTGGGGAGGCGTCTAGCATCTTTCCGATAGACTCTGCCCGTGACATGGACCCAACAGTAATCTCGTACACTTATGAGCTGTTGGAAGAAGCAAAAAGTGCCTCTGACTTACAATTCTGTTGGCTACCTCTCCTGCTCGTATACCCAAGTGGTACACTCGACCATCCTCTGTTTTTGGAAAATCTAGATGGACGGTTGCATCTATTTTCAAAGGAAACCAGTATTTTACTCACTTGCGTTCTGTACGCGATCCTTCATGATCGCAGTGGTGAGCACTGAGTACTAGTTACTGATCAACCGTTGGCGACCGAATAACCAATGTCCAACACTCTTGTCACCTCAGCACGTGATATTCGTAATTTTCGCCGATACTAAAACTTGACAATTCACTTCAGAACTACGCCTGGGTCCCGGGAACACACGCGGAACCATCCACATTGCGAATAGCTTGCCCTTAGTGCAAAGCACCGAGAAAGATATAAGTACTGACTAAAATGTGGCACCGCTGTCCGTCGGGCGCGAACAAGCGCTACGGTTGACAGAAGTAAGCAGTGGCGTATCACCCACGGGTGAAAATGGGCACAAGCCGTGAGACAGCAAGCATGTTGGAAATCACGCAAGGCAGCTCAGAATCTTGAGCTGAACGGTAGATATTGACATTAGATCCTTAAGGTGATCTAAAACGATGTTTCAGGTACTTTCAGATTCCAGAATGTCAAATCAGCATGTTACTGGTCGTGTGCCAGTGCGCGCACGCCTCTCAGCATCAAATGCGTGAGTCATCTGACAGGCTGACTTCTGACAGAACTTTCTGTACCTCTGCAAGGAGATATTCGGAGTTGGACCACCCTTTCCCCCCGCATGGAGATCAACGTACTACCAAGGGAACTGTCCTAACCCGCGCCTCCGATTAGTGTTTTATACTTTGAAACCTTGTTGGCCCTTTGCTTATTTTGAATCGTCCCTTTTTTTTTCTCCTTTGACACGGCTTTCGTGATATCATCGCCAGGACAATTGCGTAGATCGGAGCCTTGATCCCGAAACTTTCGAGCCCAGACCTTCTAGTCCTTACGCCCTCCTTTCTTCCGGCAAGAAGCTGTCTCGACGTGAACTCTATCCTTTTCGAAACTGATGCCGGTGAACTACGTGGAGCGACGATGACGGTTTTACCCATATTAGCTGACTAGTTTGTTTTTTATGCCGCAATCGGTGGCGTTGTCCTACGGTCTCCGAGGTTATTTGTGCTGTACCATAATCATCGAAGTGCCACGGAGTTGGCTGGAATTGCAGTGCTTTTCGCCGCTCTCCGTCAGAGAATACATCGTCATCGTAAGTAGCCGCGGCTAGGTGTAACTTTAATTTCGATGACTTAACGTGCGGCAAGGATAACGCCAAAATACAGCCACTCGACGATCTGCACAAATAATTCTGATTGTACCGTGTCTCACATCCCGCAATGGTGCCACGAGAGACGGAGGGCAATCCCCTTTCGGGAGATGTGGAAAGTTGTGTGACTTATTGCGTGTCGTCGTGCTGGAGTACCCTTAGAAGAAGAAAAGGAAAAGGTACGAACACTTTGTGATATGCGCCTTCTTGCGGCATCACCTTGTTCCCACTTAGGCTGACACGGTGACTGATGGCGAGATCGAACTCTCTCTCGAAGGGCGATCATCGGATCGTCTGCTGAGTTCTTCAGTGTCGGCATCGAACACCTTGTCGTCTAGGTGCCATATATTGGATCGTGATGTCCTCGAGAAGAGAATGTGATCGTTGCCCCTCCCTCGAGTCAGAGACATACGACCGATTCCCCTATTGTTCAGTAATTAGAAAACTAGACCATCATGAATATTACTGACGTAGATATTTGATAGCGCGGTGCAGATCATCACATCCATCGCATCTTTGGCTCCCTTGTTGCCTTTACATTTAATGCCGTCAAGGAGATAACCGTTGTGTATTTGAGTGATCAGTTGGTGGAAGCGACTAAGTACCGAATCCAGGTACAACTTTCTTGGATCGTGTTGAGATCTTCTCTTGCTACGAAGCGATATTAATGAACGACTGCGATGTTTGAGTGCTATCGTGACTGGATTTCGAGTCTGCAAGAGGAATTATAGTGTGATCAGAGGCTTTGAGCAAGTTATTGCAAACCTGGTAGTTTTGCCACGACGACACACATATTCGTTAATCTTGGACTCCCAGTTGCAGTACACAACATGCGCAAGTATCCTATCATAAGTCACACTGCATGAGAAAAGGTTTCGTTATTTCAAATTTGGTCTTCTATCTGCTTCGCATAGATCTGGTGATGATACTAGTCTGACCTTTAGCATAGCCCAGTGCATGTGGATCTGAACAAGATTGCCAAACGACGTATCTCGAGATTGCCAATATGACGCAATCCCGCACGGTCGACGGGAAAATAACAATCAGATTCTCAATGTGGTGAATTTGTTTTGGGATTGAGAAGAAACATGCTCACAACCTTCAGTGTCCAGGAAATTTTCAAACCGTCGATTCTACTTCAGAAAATCGGTGTTGAAATCGTTCTATAAGTTTTACTCGTGCCACACCCGGCTTGACCCTGACTTGGCAATTCTACCTTTACGTTAACCCTTGAGGCTTTCCTGAGCAGAAAGACACATTAGCTACGCGTTGTTCCTTGGACTCGTCCTAAAAGAGCACTCACAAAGCGGACTATCCCAAGTGTGGACTATTAGTAGGCTTGCCACAAGATGTCATGATCTTGATCGGAGTCAGAAGGTGCGCAGCAAATGATACATAATATGCCTGTGCAAGAACTTTAAGCAGACAAGGAAATAGGGTGCTCCCTGAACCTAGGGTTCACGTCGACAAGTTCAGCGGAAAGAAGCATGCAGCGTGCAAGGATAGGAAGCCAGAAAGAGAGAACCTCACGGCTGACCTGGGGCAGATGAAGCGGAAGTGTCCGAACCGAGAATGGAAAATGTGCAACTTGGGGCATCTCCGAGTAAGCACAGCGACAAGTCGGAGTAACGGAACTGACTTGTACACCCTGTGCTCGATATCCAGCAGTGGAAGTAACTTCCGCGTAGCGTGAAATTATTTCTCAGCAATCTCCGCCGGAGCAAAATAATCGAATGAGGGTCCTCGCATTTTATTGGAAAAAAAACAATCGGAGGTATGGTAACAAAAAAGTCCCACTAGCAGACCAACCTGGGTTAACATAAGTCGTAAGGGCCTCGCGCTCGACACGAGTCATCGTGTCGAAAGAGGGTTTTTGCCCATGACTATAGCCATCCTTGGACAAGCCTACTTTTGGGGGGGATTCGAAGCGCCAAAAAATTTAAGGGTCTTCAACGTTCAGGTCGCACAGATCTAGCCTGAATTGGTACTCGATTTTCTGGAGGCGTAATTAATGGCAAGTGCTGGATTCAGGATTGACAACCACGATTTTGGATATTTCGAAGCGGAGAAATATTTGAACAGTCGCCAGTGATCATGATGAAAGGTCGCTATAGCCAGCGGCGCTCGGCCTCAGTAATTGCGAGCCGCCATACCCGAGGAAACGAGCTCCGCGAATCCTGAAGGCACCACTAGGTTCACTCGACTTTTACGATCAGACTTAATGATTCTGCCTGTTCCGGTTCACTTCACCATGCGTTATTCCTTGGGTTCAGTACGTCAACAAACCTCTTCAAAACTCCTCATATTAGGAGCGAACGGGTCTCTGATTCCAGGACCGTGGCTGCCAACCAGTCTCAGTTTAGCTTTCAATCCCGTCTGGAACATCACTTGCGCCTACAAAAGCAACAATTTGTTCTTTGATACTATCCGAGCTTGAAACTTTTTACCCGCCCCCCCTCTGCTATTGTTGACATGAACCGCTTCATTCGAGAAGGAAGGCATGGAACCACTGCAGAATATGCCGACCCTCTCAATGTCTCCTTCCATGAAGGACTCGGAAGAGTTGAAGACCAGGGGTCTCTCTCAAGTTCGGAGGACGACGCTGGGCTCTACCTGTTCTATCAGGATGCAAATAAGATGGACGCAGATATCGACGGTGAGCTATCTTTTCGATATCTTCTCAATGACACATCTCACTCAAATGACTTCAGACGACGTAAATATCTCCCTGACATCCCAAGCCTTGAATCCGGATGGCACGCCTAAGCGTCCCATGAATGCGTTCATGATTTTCGCTCGCAGGAGACGGCCCCAAGTCTCCGCGGAAAATCAATCATTGCGAACGGGGGATGTCAGCAAAGTCTTGAGTCGAGAATGGAATGCTATGGACATGGTAACATATTTTCTTCACGTTTGCGACGGTAGTTCTGACCTTGAGACTATTCAGTCCGAGAAGCAGTTCTACCTCGACCAAGCCAAGCACCTGAAGGATAATTTCAATCTCAAGTACCCAGATTACGTTTACAGACGGAGACCGAACAACAGCCGCAAAAAGCGAAGAGCAGACTCCACAGGCATGGCTGGAGACTCTGCTTCTACCACGGACTCGGTCGACGATCAGTCTTCCAATCCTGAGTATGGCGAAATATCTCCTGTCGAATACCATCATGATTCTCAAGAAAGATACGAAAGTAGCGGACCAGAAGGCTGCACGTCCGCGGAGGCCACATATGATACTTCATACTTGCCTCCGGCACAAGCGTCGAGTTACCAACTCGCTGATTCGTTACCACATCATGGCCATAGTGGCAACGACATACGGACGCCGTACCTATCCTCTCACGAGCGCGTCACGCCTGATGCCGTGATGGGCCCATCCACATCCGTACCTCGCGGCGGATCAACGAGTACTGCTTATTTTTCCCCTTTCGTGCACAATACAACACATGCCCCGTCAGCTTCTTACCTGCCAAGTCAGATTGGAAGCGATGGGCAATGGCACCCTTCCAGTCGTTCTAGTCAAGACGATTTAGCATGCATACCCGTCCAATCTTGGTCGCAGAGTAGTTCAGAACAATCTTTACACGCTAGAGATGACGTGCATCGTCAATACCAAGTAGCTCAGGTATCACCGTCGTCATGGGGTGCTAGCCCCTCGGGGCCATCAGCTTCGAACAATCCATCGGCCCATTCCTCAAGCTATGGCTTTCCCACGCTAAACTCTTCTTTCTATCCGTCTCAGAGCAGCTCCCACAGCGTGTATACAGCCCAACAATCCCCGTCACAAATATCTGACGTTTCTCACCACTACGGTGCGGTTGACCACATTCAAGGGAGCTCGGTGGTACCCAGGCAAGAGGACGCATACCATTCCCGTCAATATTCCACAGGTTCTGCAATGCAAGCCGGATATCCGCAAAGTAGTGGCTCAACCTTGCAACAATACCACACGCAATTTCGGAATATTCTTGCCCCGGCACCTTTAACACCTGTGCAGTCAATGCCGGTATGCTCACACACCCCATCAATGAACACAACTTCCCCCGCTGGACCGGGGACAGACACTGCCTCTCAACTCCAGTAGCGTGCTGAACCTTGTCGAACACCAATAGAATTTGACGGATGATTTCTCGGCAGCGTAGATCATAAGGGATTCCATATATTTAGTTCATCATTTACATTCTCAGTTTCATCATGATACGGAGGTTATTAGTTCAGTGTTCACTCAGCTTATCTGCTATTGCCTGGACACTATTCTTGCACTCTTTGCATATCGTATGTTTTTGCTTTGCTTTGCTTTGTAGTACCTGCATTGTACATCACTGTCAAGTATCTGAATGTTTATTATACTTCTGTAACTCAACGGTTGGTTGATCATTGATAATCACTGCCTTGTCCAAAAAGAATTAAGATGATCGCCCAGTGATTACCGATGTTTGCGAGCGCCGTGTTTGGAGAGAGGCGAACCTGGATGAGTTTTTCTCATTCTTGGAGGCAATGATTTCACACCTGAGCGGGTGTCGCCATGATCCTGGATTCAGCTGAAAGTATTGCATTTTATTGTAAAATACATCGTGATCTATAAGTATAGGCATATCATGAACCTGGCATAACATATGGAGATAATAATAAAATTTATCTAGGCCGCGGTGCACGAATCCTGACCATCTTGCTGATATTGGGCGTCAAAAATGAAGCACCAAGATACGTGGTACTCCACAGCTGTATTATTCCAATTCTCCGCCACGCCATCGGATGACAACATGCTGGCAGATGGTCTCCGCTGTTCTGGTTCAACGGCAGACATTCCAGCGTATGCGGCTAGAAAGAAGCGGCGTTAACAAAGTACATGCCTAGGTCAACGTAATGGCAGAAAATAGAATAGGACGAACATGTGTCGAACACATCTTCAAACAGCCAGGCCGGTGGGTAGTCGTGGCTTGCCAATCCCGGTCTTTATCATGGCAATGGCGTAGGTTATTCATAAATCTGTCGGAGATAACTCAGAATCGAGGGCATCGTCCTGAACCGTGGATGGAGGAAGCACGACTTAGGCCTGTCGGCGATATGTGGGACTTGGTTGGTCAATTTCCTGATAGGACAGCGCCGGCGCATTCTTGTCACTGTGCCGCAGGTCGGATAGTAGCGAGTGACCAGGTACGATGGTACCCTGAATGTGGCCAAGGTCTTGCTAGTGTCAATTCAGGCTAAGTGGTTCAAACTATAAAGTGTAGCACTACTCACGCGTGGTTCTAGGTCCACTTAAAGCATATGGTCCGAGTTTTCCCAGAAAAGCAGGAAAGCCACGAGGATATTCCAGGCGCTCGTTATGTGTCCCCAGCACACCTGTTTCCCTGATAAGGCTGTGAAATCTTTTTTTAAATAAAGAAGTACAACACTGATCTACAAACGGATAATCTCAACCAGCGAATTTTGCTGGCGCAAGGACGTGAGTAGCGACAGTTACGTCGTGTGAGATCGCTCACAAAGTGGGAGGGAGTGCCGTGGCAAACAGAGCGAGCCGCCCACGGTGGTTAATAGAAAACAATCGGAGACGATTGAGCTTGAAACTGTGGGCCGAGCGCGGGAAACCAAGCTCTTTGGTGGCCCCTGCATTCCGTAAAATAAATTCAATAAAACAATATGACCGCAAATATTCTGCAGCAACGTTAGACTACATCATAGGCCACGGCCAGATCGTGCTGTGGAGATACGTATGCACGCACCCTCATACTGATTCCGATCGGTTGTCAATATTTCCGAGAAATATCCTATTTTGTCGGTGTTCTTTACCGCGGATTTGAAGGTGAAACACTTATCACGCATGTCAGTTGGTTTGACAAACGTTCCATACAGAACAGCTTTGAGAACTTGCGAGAATATTGGTTGCTTCTTGTGCGAATAACTTCATGAATCATAGCCAGCAGTGGTTGCAATGCACGTGGCCCATCTTCCAGCCTAACATTGCTGTAACCAGCATTCAGATGACCTGATGGGACGCAATCACAATAAACGGCAATATGCATTGGGAACAACCTATCCAACCATCTAAGACTGGATGAAATTATGGGTGAGCTAGCTATTACGTTCGGTCATGGACGGATCAAGGTGGAGATATGCAGGTACAACATGATGTGTCAACAGCTTTCTAAATGGTCGATAAATTAGGAGACCCTATCCACACCACAAATAATTGACTTACCAAGCCATTTTGGGGGTAGTGACGGCCACTGCAGGAGAACACCGCCAAACTCATCCTGCTTTTTGTCTCTGCCTTGCTCATGCAGGTACCAACATGTCTCCCCATGTCCTGGCGACAAATATGCCAGCCGCAAACACACTAACTCCCGTCATGATGCTGATGTTCCCGGGTAATTTTTCTGGAGAAGTGATTTGCTCTCGAATGAAGCGGGAGAAAGCAGACTCGTTTGGATCAGAGATTTGACGGCGTGGAGGTGCTGTAAAGAATGCAGGTGTTGCGTTTGCTGGTGCTGCGCGACGAGCCATGTCTGTGTTTCTCTGTGGTGCGGGTGCTTTGGGAATGAAAAAAGGTCGAGTGCACAGAGGTTCCCAGCGGCGAGGCCGTCGCGGAGTTTGCAACGCTACACTTAGTCAGCACACTAAATTAGCATTTTCATGTCAATCCATCAAATTGCAACTCGAGTCCCTCGACGATTGAGAGCCCCAAGGGCTCGCTAGTACTAAGCAGGTCAGTAAGTTAAATATCTTCTCTAGTGTCTTGTTGATTCTTTTAAACAGCTTTCCGATACTACGAATCCACTTACAACATTTCGTTCGAACTCGGCATGTTGGCGGCATTTGAGAAGGTCAGTTGCGCTCTGCCCCTATGACATTCCGATCATGGGGGTGAATAGAGATGCGCTGCGCATTGCATCATAAATCTTACAAATGGTGGGTATCTAAGCTTTAAGAACACCCCGAAATCACTGTTCCTCCGAACATCCATCATATCATTATCATGTTTGCATCGCTTGTTCTTCTCACTCTTCTCCCTGCAGTTTTTGGCCAGTCTTGGCAGCAATACCTAGCTGGCCTTGTCCAAACATTAAACACTGATGGGCTTACAACGCTGGCTTCTGCGAGTGCTGCATTAAACAACTCAAATAATGGGCAGCAAGTGGCACAGTCACTCTCTACGGGAAACTGGACGTTGTTTGCACCCAACAATCAGGCTTGTAGGTACTCTAACATACAAACGAAGAATGGTACTTCACTCTTGTTTTACAGTTAGCTCCTCTCCTATGAATCTCACAAGCGATCCCACATCTGTTCTGGATCTCCTTTCATACCATGTTGTGTCCGGCAATTTTACCGATCAAACCTCGCCATATCCAAACATCACCCTTGGGCGAACGCTGCTCAACGATTCCTCACTTGTCAGGCTGGAAGGAAATGAATCGCAGGTTTTAGCGTGGTCTAACGGAAGTGATGGCCTATTTGTGCTCAATAATGGGTGAGACTTCCCATGTCTATTGATTAACTTTTTCTAAGTGGCATTTAGCACAACTGTTCCGGTAGTAAACAAGACGACCTATCAAAATATCCAAGTCCTTGTCATCAACTCTGTCCTCCAGATCCCTCAAAATTTGTCTGATACTCTCGCTAATAGTACTTACGACGTCACCAGCGTTGCGGGCGGGCTTTCATCCATTAATATCCCCACCACTGATTCGACACTGCTCGATGTGCTCAACAATGCCCACGGTATCACAATCTTTGCGCCAAATAATACTGCTATTGCGTCAGCGAGCTGTATTAGCGGTTTGCTGCCAAATAATACTGCACTGATTGCGCTTTTCGGGAATCACGTTTGTCCTTTCATGCAGCTCATTTTGCTTGGTTTGACTCCATATCCAGATCATCAATGGCACGACTGTTTACTCGCCAGGATTCACGAATGGAAATAATTATACATCAGCCTCTGGGGAACCCTTCGCTTTCAAGACCAACTCCTCTGGAGTGTATGTGTCCAGCGCCGGCTCCAATTGGGCGCGTATCATGCGATCAGACGTTTTGACGTCCAATGGAGTCGTTCATGTGATCGATAGCGTTCTTCTCGACACGAAAGTTAACGTTTCCGCTGCGGTCTCTGCGTGCGTATCATATGTCAGTAGTACGACATCACTCATTATTGATATCTTGCTTTTCCGATAGCTATCAATCGGCTACTTCAGTTGCCACATCGACCACTATTCAGACCGGCCCGGTGGGCGTTACGCCTACTACTTCTGCTGGCCATTGAAAGAATCGTTGAATTGGATGAGCCTCTGAGCTTGGAATATTATTGCCGAGACCAATGGGTGTATTCAGTGGCATAGTTGCTCATTAAACATCTTGTTTTGTGTATTTTTTCGTTTATGTGTGCATTGTTTATCTCACAATTGTATTTTTAGCCTGCTCTAATATATTGTCATCAATTACTGGGAATAATGATTCAATAGAAATACATACTAGGTTTCATCTTTTTTTAAAGTTTCTTTATCGGACAAGTATTATTGTATAGGGAACGAGTGCCATGGCGATGCCCTGAGTCTTTGACGACTGTGCCCTTCCAGGCCTGAGAACGTTCACTAGGGCTTGCTCCACGCCTTACCTTAGTGGTTTATGGGCATTGTTGCACTGCTTATTTGAGCTGCTGAACGCTATATACCATCCCTCTACGTCGAACGCGCCATCAATCCTACCATGAAACACTTATCACTGAAAGAAGCCTTGCTTCCTCAGCCTCCCAGTTTCGTGAAAAAACAGTCGTATGAGATTCACGAAATTCTTGGATCAGGGACGTTTGGAAAAGTCATGGTGAGATTTTGAATTATCGACCCGTACGGTCACTATAGCTAGGCTGAGGCATATCTACCTTCTCCACCTTCTATATGGCTATCCTACCGATGATCTAATTACAAAATCATGCACCTTAGAGAGCGACATGGCAAGTTCCCCCTGATCTAGCCGATGTTTCGCAAAAAGGGGCATTCCCCACATCGCCATCATCTCCAACTGACCACACCTCCGGTCGATCTTCCATTCCTCTTCTCCATCCGCATCATATGAAGAGGTCCGTTTCTCGAGCACATACTAGCTCTTCCGTCCCCTCATCACCAGGAGGACATAACCCCGTCGCAATAGTGAAAGAGGTTGCATTAAAGGTCATTCCAAAGAAGAAAGTAAAGGGCAACGAAGCTGCTGTCTGGGGCGAGATGGATGTCCTGAAGGGTCTTGACCACCCTAATATTGTTCGTGTTTTGCGGCCAGACTTTTTGATGTGTGTCTGACCTCCGAGATCAATGTAGGTCAAGTTTTATGAGTGGTTCGAGTCTCGGTCCAAGTATTATCTTGTTTTTGAGCTAGCTGTCGGTGGCGAGCTCTTTGAACGTATACTGCAAAGAGGAAAATTTACTGAGAATGACGCCGTTGCAGTCATTCGGTATGCTTTACGAATTGCACACTCTTCACAATTGACGAATCGTCTCAGGTCCATCTTGTCGGGAGTGAAGTACCTACACGACCATGATATCGTGCATAGGGACTTGAAGTATGTTCTCCTAAACCGAGAATGTCGCATCATTGATTTGATACGTGTACAGACCCGAGAATATTTTGTACCGAACGAAGGACCCGGATAGCGATATTGTGATCGCTGACTTCGGAATGTGAGGGGTCACCCTTCCTGAACTTATGTCTCAATGACGCCTTCATTCGAAGTGCAAAACATCTGCATTCTCCGGAAGAGCAGCTGCATTCGCTGGCCGGGAGCTTTGGCTACGTCGCTCCCGAGGTTCTTAACAAGCAAGGCCACGGGAAAGCAGTCGATATCTGGTCAACGGGGTAAGCGCTTGTTTATCTTTATCGCATCAAACCTCATGTTTGTGATCAAAAATTGACGGCGCTAACACCGCGACCTCCTTACAGTGTCATCGCTTATGTTCTGCTCTGCGGTTACTCGCCGTTCAGAGGAGATGATACAAACGAGATGATTCGGGAGACCACAGAAGCCAAGATCGAGTTTCATGAGCGATACTGGTCCAAAGTCTCCGATGAGGGTGAGCTGATGGTCGATGGCGTTAGTTGTATGTGTGCTAATATCAACCCATACAGCGAAGACATTCATTAAACTTTTGTTGAACCCCCATCCATCGCAACGACCTACTGCACAACAAGCTCTGAACAATCATGTAGGTCACGAGTCCATCATCCACGTAATTCTGCGTTAACAGCGTTGATAGTGGTTGACGACGCACAAGGCTTCTACCGAACACGACGTCATCTCGGGTCTCAGAGAAAATTTCGACGCCCGCAAGAGGTGGCGCACCGCTATCATGTCAGCGCGCATTATCAACCGGTTCAGCAGACGACCAAGTACGGCTTCAAGTACAGGCAGCGGCGGCTGGGGAGAAGACCATCTGCACGCTGACGGAGGCGAGGAAGAAGTTGAAGAAGATACTGCAGATTGCGAATTCCATGACGTGCCCGACGAAGCTCTGGCATCGCTCTCATTAGGTGGGATCGACCCAGGATCGAACGAGAACGTGAAAGTCATAGGGCCGGATGACAAAGGTGATCAGCTGGGTAAGGGGGATGTTTCCAGTGCCCCTGATGTTTGTTTGACTACCAGTGAGTCCAGTGTGAATAGCAGGACAGCCTTTCCATCGCATGCCGCGTCTCTCTCGCAAAAGGAAGCAGTTCACCTGGTGGAACGAGTGGATACCTCGGAGTTGTACGTTGCAGCTGATGACGAGTCAGAGCTGAAGGTTCCGGGATACCTACATGGAGGAAAGGTTCCATGGCAGAGTTCTTCACCCGTTTCTGGTCGGCAGATGTGGTTCGATATGCCGAGGAAGTTTTTTGGATTGTAAGGGTTATATCCCGTGGATCTTGAAGTCCGCCGTAAGTTATATGTGATGTAACACTACGCACAGCTTAATCACCTAGCTGCTATTCGATTTTGGCCGTTGTACATATTTATCGCCTAAGATAGTGGCCAGCAGGGTTGATATGCCGAGGATGTTGTTTTTTAAAGATTGTGAACGTTCTTCCGTTCATCACGAACTCAGGCTATGAACGTGTACGTGAGTATACACAACCTAACCTAAATCTTTCATTTACCAGGAAATTTTACCTGACGTTGTGCTTACGATCCTTCCGGTGCAGTCGGCACCACACAGAAGTCGGCACTTTCACAAAAATTTTCATGGACATTATCCTCCTCTAATACACCTACCTCATTACGAGGTGGAACGACTGCGATTAAAGTGGAATTGGGTGAGATAGTTGAAGTGTCTCCTGCCGATGTGCCGTAGCGGAGTTTAAGTTTAATACTGCACTTTAGTCTTTGATCCTTGGAAAAACTTTGGAAGCGCTTCGGCCTGTGCGGCAGCGCTAAATTCTGCGCTAATCAAGCTCTCCTGCACCAGATCTTACTCTACTTACAATGCGCCATATCGAACTTACATAGGCAACCTCATCTATATTTGACTCATGTACATGGTCCGAGTCTCACTTGCATCCCCTTGTTCAAGTACATTAGTAGCGCACACCAAGAGACTGGAGCGGTCCTTTGAAGACGTCACTCCACCCGAACCGAGAGAAGAGTAAGCAACCGGGGTGGAAGTCCGATCCAAAATTCTGATTTGCAACTCTATCATTCGCCTTCAGTTGGCGTCTCCGTTTTCGCAATCTTCAGAATAGTCATCACAACGTACAAAGCGAGACTGTGACAGACATGGTACGTACTGTAGGTATTAGCTACCATAGGGCTCTGCCCTAACGGACATTAAACAAGAACTATTGTCTAGGTGGAGAAGCAGTAATATGATTTAGATTATACAATGTCAGCAGTATTCCACCAGTCGGAATTTGAGGCTGAAGGCCGGTCGGTATGCTCGAAAACTGGACTAACACCTGCGGTAGTTTGGGCAGATGAGACATCGGTGGCGAAATATATCTTGCTCGAACGAGACCGAGTAATGGGTATCGATGGATTTTCTGCGAAAGTGATGGCCTGCACAGTGGGGGTAAGAGAACTTGTCGAGCCAGATCGCGCACGGCTGCTGAACTCGAGGTGCGCCGCGGATGGGACAGAATGTGACCGCAATTGGCTGAGAACGACAACTTCTCCTGAAGGTGTTGATATGGCATGATTACGTGTAGTCAGGATAATACTGTCCACTCGCGAGTGAAGGGGACTAGGTCCATAATATGCTTGCTTCTTGAGGTTCAGAGTGATCCTTGACATCATTGTGACCTGTTGGCCGGAAATGGTCAGGCTATGCCACATACACACTTCAGTTCGTGCTCACAGTGAGACTGTAATGTAATAATGTGTAATGTAATAATGTCGGTCAATCGTTGTTACTCGTAGTTTACAATAAAGACTCACACAAGTTCAAGCCTATGCATAGTGTATTGTAAGTAAACAAGATCAGGGTAAAAACGAAGATGTGCGTACTGTGCGGCGATATTTTTCACCCCCTCAGGAGCCCTAATGATCATGATAGTCAATACCAGATTTACGGTGCAGATGACGCTGTATCCCTGGTGAGCTCTGCCGCTACACGGAGAACCTGACTTGCGCACCTGTAATACAGTAATCCGTCTGCGACGAGAGTACGAATAACATGACCCGCTTCTTTATTGCGGATCAAAGGAAGCGTGCAGTTCAACGTCAAACCAAGGATATACGTGTCGTAGAGGAGAGGTAACCAAGCTGAAGCCGAGGCCGAAACCCAAGTAACACTGCCGCTGACAAGTGTTTCAGAACTCACATATGCACGTCAGTTGTATATAAGGACATACGAATTGAACACCATGGTACAAGCTGTAAAAATGTGAACAAGGTCATCGTGTGCGAAAAATGAGTAATCTCACAGTGAACGTTGTCTGTGTGTACAATGGCTGGGGGCTTTGTCATAAACTCATGCATAGCGTGACGAAGGTAAAAACATACGTCCACCATGACTCAATAACCACGCAGTTACTACAATCCAAGCTAGCAGTAAGAATACAGCCAACACAATGGCAGCCCGTTGATATCTATACATTGCAATGACCCTGTGTGCTCCATCATCAGTAGATGCTTTCTGAGAAGGGAACAAACTTCACCTTATCAGCATCATTAGCCCGACTATCTCAATTCCTATAGCTGTCATGGCCCCTTCGTATCGGACAAAATGCAGGCAACTTGGACAATGTCAACTAAATCCAGTGGTACAGTGCAATGCTGACCTCTGCAGTCAAGTTCGTAAGATTCATCACTGGTAGTGGGTATAAAATATCACAACTCACTGCGTAGTCCCATGAAGGTAGGTTGTATGCTAGTAGTAGAGGTCACGGATAAAGTTATGAGCCAAAGATGATGTACTCACCAACCAGATTAACGATAAAGCCGAGAGGAGTGAGGTATCGGTTCTGAGACATAGACCCATACATGTGAGGTTTTAACTGGCAGATATTGCCAATACATATACATACCAGTAGAAACAAGTATACAACTAAGCAGTTTTAGTCTTTCAGATACTAGTGCATACCCATATCGGTGATGCCACTCACAGATCCCTTTACGGCCTTGCCAGATAAATTCAATCTAAGTATTATGTTGAGTTTCACTGAATCTGGTACAATTGCTAATGTCGTACCTCATCTCCACTGGTAACGAGGTGATCCCAAATCAATATGGTGAAACCTACGATCCCAACATACTAAATCATAAGATATGTATGTCAGCCACTGCAACAGTAGACCATCATGAAGGTCAACGTACAATCGTTTGACGCCTGAAAAGACGGGAATCAATATGCAAAGACGAACAATAGGCAAGTACGACTTACGTTTCTGTCAAGTCCTGACTGATCGTCTGCATTGTTTCCTTCGCTAGTGAATGCACCGCCTATCTACGGGAACGGCCTAGTCAGTAGTAAGGTGTGCTTCAGGCTTGAAGGTTTTAGGATTGTCAACCCCGAAAGGTTCGAGTCTGTATTGAACTATGGAGGACGGAGAAAACGTCAGTCACCATGTTGTTATAAGCGCATTTTATAATACTCAGTAGCACTGGCATGGGCGCTCATGATAACAAACATTCGTTCATATGTACGCCTGTCCAAGTTATGGCGACTACTGGCAGGTAAATAGGCGACTCGGATAACGTTGTTGCCCCGTTTTGTAGGCAAGTGACGTCAAAATGTGTCACGGATTCCGGCCATCAGGCCGTACCCGCACAGCCCACGAGTCGAGATTTGAGTCTAATAATACTATCAAAGCCGCTATAATTGCCAGTTGATCATCTGACGTTGAACCGACGAACTTGTGAAGCAGTGGTATCGCGGCGGTCGCACACTGTCCATACAAGCATCGCTGCGACTTTTTCGACATACAAACATAGCAGTGCTGAACGTCTGCCTCGACTGCAGGGACGGTCCTGACAGTGACTGGTGTGCCTCTGTCGTGCGCATTGCAATTTGGGTGCCTGCCAACCGCATCGCCTGTGCAAAAGTTATGGCGGAAGGCAGTGCCGGTGACCTCACCTGTACGACACGCTGGATATGTACATATCGTTGGAAAATCATGGTTACTCTGATTTTCCACGGTTATGAGTGACCTATTACCACTCCAAACTGTTCGGCTCCTACACCAAGGTACGAGCCAAAACTTAGGTGAAAACTCGGACCTCGTTCACCGCTCAGCAAACTTACATAACAAGTCCATTATTATTTTCGCTCTTTTTCTTGTAAATGAGGCACAGTGAATTATAGCTAGTATACGACCCCTCTAATGTTAGTAGCAACTTCTACAGGGAGGAGCAGGGTGCACCGGTGAGGCTGCCGCTTAGGCTGGCCAGGAAATGTCAGAAAGTCTGGGAATTCGAATGTCCGGGTCCCGGGAGGCCGTGTCCGGCGGTTACGGGTCTGTCCGCCTACGCCTCAGGGGGTATGTACATAGTTTTACGCTCATGTTTTCCCGCAAGGTCTCAATCAATTATCGTTTATCAAAGAACTTAGAACTGGTAGAGCTAAGCTTGGAGAGTTGAGTATTTTCTAGAGACTACATACTATTTATCAGAGCTGACAAGGTTTCCGAGGTCTTTTTACGTTACACTACTGGTACGCCACAGCTTGGCAGCCGAACAGTAGCGACACACTCAATTTTCCGTCTCGCCGTGCTCTTGAGCCCACTAATCGGATTGGGACATTCCACACCTTCCACAATCATGGCTGTGAGGAGCGTTTTGGCCTGAGGTCGGTTCTTCCCGTCTCGCTGGAGATGTGGTTTCCAGGCGCTAGATTCTTCCGCCAAAAACAGTGAATGTAGCATGAAATATTTTACGGGTATGTTACTGTGAGTATGTATATGTCTGAATCCATATCATCACGCTATGTCATCTGCTGGCGATTTCTTGTACTGTGACACCCACACATGTTGTAGAGGGGGAATAATCCACCACAGTAAATGAATGGGCCACACTGCGCGCTGCAGCAAGGTCGCCTCGCGTCTGTGGACGATGTTCTGTTTCTGAAGCATAATGACGATGTAAATCGTTAAAAGAGTGAGGACAACGGTGGCCATCGCATAGTGAGCGAGTGTTTGTGTCCCATTGTCGATCTCTATAACGTTCATACCAAAGACAGACTGAGGACATACGCAATCAGAAAGGATCTGTCCATAAGAATTCTATACTTACCGCAATAAAACTTGCTGGTATGAAGACTATCGTGAGGTATGTGAACCTCTGCATCCGCCTACTGTCCTCAGTATTGACGATCGCAAATGCAAGTTCCATCGCATTCTTCAGTCGACTGCTCAGCATCATCCGTCGCCTTTCCAGGCGATCAATTTCGCTGAGTAGATTGTCGCATTCTTTCTTCATAAGTGCATCAGACTCCATACGCTCTTCGGCGGTAGCACCCTCCATGGCCGGATTGAGGTTCGTCTCGATAAACTTTACTGATACCTCGAAGCCATGGAGGAGTGATTGATAGTGTAAAAGACGCGCTTCAAGAACATGAAGGTCATGTGTGAGTGCGATATTATCCAGATGCAGTACTTGCAATTCCTGGATGCGCTTGAGTAACATTACTTCCACGCTGCGCGAGAGCCACGTACCAGCTCGCTAACATAGCGGTACAGCGAATCAAGGGACTCATCCCACTCATATAGCGCATACCATAAAAATGCGAGGAAGAGAAATGTCGGGTCTTTGGACTTGTCAAATATTTTTTGCCAGTACACACTTTTCCCCACGAGCTGTATGAGCGAGCGGAGGTGCTTCCCAGATGTTCGCAGCCCTGTAGATTCGGGATGATAGGATATGATAGTGCTTTCTTTCACGTGGCGGACCATGTGGATTGCGAGGAGATCAATGAAGAGCATACGGCCATCTAGGAGGGACGTTTTAGCGTGAATGTATTGATGTGAGGATGTCAATACACATACCGCCTGTCGAAAAAGGGGCCTGGATATCGATCAGGGTATCTGCCGGAGGTAAATCGGATGACTATGACACGTGATGAGCCACTAACCAGTCTTACAGTCCAATGGTCTAGAGTCAGTTGGCGATTGCGATTTCTTTTGTGATCGTAAAAATGGCAGGGTAATAGTGATATCTATCACTCACATGAGCCATGCGACTCAAAATGGAAGGTTTGGACTTATGATCTCCTTCTCTATGACGAGGCGCTTCCTGATATCGTGAGGGTATCCAATTGAGGGAGGACGTGAAAAAGAACGGTTCAATGTTGTATCTATGTATGAGGTGTCAGAGCATGTAGACGAGTAAAAGACGCCACATACCTTGTCCCTAGCATGCGCAAGACTGGTGACGTCAAATCATCCACAAACAACGATCGCACTCGGATCCCCTCTGGTCGCTACAAATCCCATTTTATTTAGCAAGCATACAACATTTAACATAAGACTCACGTCTTTCCCTAACGTTTCCCAAAAATTATCCTGATCCTCAGCCGTCCTTACTGTAGTGCCAAGGTTGCCTTTTTCCATATCTGGGATGGTAAACCTCTTGGCGACGTCTGTGACGTCTTCGGAGTCACACACATACATCCAGTATATAGTGCTAGACTGATCCTTCGAGCACTTTTCGAACATCTTACTTCGCTGTACTGGATCTGCCGTCCAGTTCCTGAACTTGTTCTGAGGATAGTTCGGCCAGGATTTATCCATGACGGCCGTATCAGTCAAGTCAGACTCAGACTCAACGTCTAAGTTCATCCATGGCCATGGTCCCGACGGAGCTGCATGTCGGTATCTGCCAGTGGAAGGGCATAAACAAGGAAATAATGAGGACACGAACAGAACTTACATGGGATCGGGCACTACACGTAGCGAAACTGTACCCTTTTTTATATCTTGGGGAGCATTAGGATGTTTTGTGTGTTTCATGATGCGGCTGAGTTGGAGTCAGTTCATCCCCACATGAATTCTGATTTTATATCTGGTTGTGGTATCATGTCAGCACACCAAGGTACTGATGAATGCCATGCTTCAACCTGTCCTGTGCATTGTGCACGGGTCAGCAGCACGACTAACACATCAGATATGAGCGGCTATTGGCAAACCATTCCCACAAGAAGCACACCGAAATCAGAACCTCCTGCAAAAAATCCTCTTGCCTAGCCCTCTTATCTTCATCCACTAACCTAGAAGGGCCTTAGTTATGAATGCACCCTGAGATACATGAGGTATCTGAGCGGCAAGTAGGGACCTTCTTCGTCTGAGCGCAATAGACGCTCTGGAACGCGGTCGAGGTGTGGTGCTCCTTTTGAACGCGTACCGCATGAATTGAATAGGGCAGTAAGTTTTCACAAGAACAGCAACCATGCCTCTGAACGCAACATTTCAAGATACTTTGAATTGAGAGCAGTCGAAAGTAATATGCACCTTGTTTTCCAAAAAAAATTGAAAGCCCCTTCGATCAAGGCCCTGCAGGCGTCAAAAACTAAAAGTAAGTTTGAACTTTACCGTAATTTAGAGAAGTTCCGACAGTCGCGTTGATGAGGCGTTTTTTGCCGAATATATCGCTTTGCTGCTCAGTACTCAGTGAGTCAGTGCTCACCCTGAATTGTACTCGCCTAATTGGACTACCCATTCAACTCGAGCGCTACACCGACGCGCCTCAATGTTATAGTACCTGTCCGTGGCAGCAGGACGGATGCAGATTCTCCGCTGCCTTCGCTCAACGAGTTTTTGGCTGCGAAACTGCTTCTAACCAAGACCAAAAAGACTGCGAGGAATCACGAAGGCTAAAGTCAAGCCGGATAAAGCTCAATTTTGATTAAAAACTGAGTTTCGGTGAACATGTGCATGGTATACAACCTGGCTAGTTTGTCCTGGTGGTGATATATTGATATGCGAGGCATGGTGAAGTGTGGCGAAGTGGTATGGTGAATCCTCGTGGGTGCATGGATTATTACATAATATGGTATGCTGCTGTGCCGGCACTTTCTGACTAGCCCGCAAACGACGGGGATATCATGTACAGTCCATCTGTGAAACTTCCGCGCTTGAAATGGCTCTCCGACCAAAGAACCTGCTCATCATTGGTGGAGGACCATGCGGGCTCATAACGCTCCGTAACTGTCTCCACCACGGAACGTTCACCAAAGTCCAGCTCGTCGAAAGACGTGACGACGTAGGCGGCGTCTGGTACGTCCATCACGTACTCTAGCCCACCTAAAGCCTGCAGTACAAAACCATCCTTGAAGGTATCAAAACCACGCCTCAAATTATCGCTCACGATGGTCCACACCTGCATACCCTGGTCTCATAGGCAACGTCATACCCGAGTTTCTCTCCTTCTCAGAACACCCTTTTCCGGCACCTCCCAGAGAACATCAGCCATTCCCTACGTTAGCAGAGACAAATGCCTACCTCAAGGAATTTGCGCGCCCGTTCATCGAGAACGGGCATATACGTTTAAGCTTCGAGGTCACTGGAGTGGAGGAGGTGGAGGGCGGTGGATGGACGGTCCGCATGAAAGATTGGAATAAAGGTGATTTGGTACTGGAAGAAACTTGGGATGCGGTGGTTATCGCTACCGTTTGGTTTGATAACCCGCATTTTCCAGATGTACCAGGTCTTCGAGAGTTGCAGCAGCAACAACACAACAAAGTCCAGCACGCCATCAATTGGACGGGTCCACATGATGATTACAGGGGAAAGGTAAATTTTTCCTTCTTATATCCCATGAAAAACTAACATTCCTGTAGTGTGTCCTCGTCATCGGAAATGCAAACTCTGCAAACGAAATGGCCGCTCAGCTCGCGCCCGTAACCCAAACACCAATATACAGATCTACCCGCCGAATTTCTGTATTTCCATCCTTACCCGACACCCGCATCCAAGACATCGGACCCATAAGTCGCTACACTACCACCACCAACAACAAAATCACTGCGCATGTCGAAGACGGAACCGCCATTGAAAATATTGACATCGTCTTATTCGGAACAGGCTACTATCCGCATGTACCCTACCTTCGCGTCCTTCGCCCAGATCCAGACCCCCAGACCCGCGCTCGCACACTTGTACCATTAACATCACGCACAACAGTACCCACCCGTATCCCTTCCCTCCACAACCAAATCCTCTACGTCTACAACCCCACCCTCGCGTTCATAGGCGCTCCCACCTCCTTTATCCCCTTCACCCTCGCAGACCTCACCAGCACCTGGCTCTCCCTTGCATGGTCAGGGCTGATCCAGATACCCCCTACTCCCAAAGCCAGACTCGTATATGAGCAAAGCCGCCTCCGTACCCTAGCAGAACAGCGCTCAGAATCCGACAACCCTTCCGACTTGATCAATTTTCATTTCTTGGGTCGCTATGAGATGGAGTATGCGAGAGGTCTCAGGGAGGATGTCGTGAGGGCGAATGAGAGGTTGGATAGGGTGCTTGCAAGATGGGATGGCGAGCAGGATGAGAGACGGTTTGCAATGTATGCGACGAAGATGGAGAGTTTGTTTGTTTCTGCGGGAGTCGAGACACTAATACCGATAGATGACAATGCGACGTAGACCGAACTACTGACGTGATATAGTAAGTCCTTCTGAAGCAATGATGCCCAAGAAATGTATGCCTGTAATGGTGTGACGATGATTGCTATCTTGTCAGGAGAGAACAACAAGGAAAGGATTATTGCCAGCGCCTGTCATAGCTTCGATAACAAAGGAACAAAACTGGCCTCGCAATCGATAGTTGCAAGGCCACGATCATTGAGTATATGCACGAATAGTAGATACACACTATCATGCATGCATTGAGTACCGCCGGCACAATCGGCAACTGCAAGTTTTTAAACTCCGTGCTTCTTCTCTTCGACCAAGCATATTATACATAAGTATAAGCCAGGTTGGTCGGTCGCGCTGCTGCTACCGGCTCAATTTTGGATCGTCATGCAGACCTTGGCTCCTGTATTCTAAGGCGCGCGAGTGTGTTATGTTGGTTGCACAACGACCTGCTCATACTCACGTCAGGTTCACAAACCATGTTATAGCAGCAATCTGCATTTACTACGCAACTTGTTGTGGTACACGCACTGACAAACATAGACGCTGTCAAAGCAGCAGGAAGGAGAAATGCATTTTCTTTGCGAGGTGATATGGAATTTCTGGAGGGGATCTTGAATAATATCTCTGAGGATACTGTACGACAACAGTCAACTTTTATCTTCTGCGTATACTAATGGGCACAATTCCGATCGATTTGGCAGACTTTGTTATTGCTGTCAGATAGCAGGATTTCGGTAGAACCTGCAGGAGTGTGTCCAATTGATTACGACCATTGTATCAGAACCTGCCGTTCCTGGAATCCTGTGGTGTTAGGAGCATAGTTCATGATATGTGGGTTCTCCCGCATGATTACTGAGTTGAATCGTCTCTGAATCCATCTCTTGGCAGCACCCCACTCTGTAATTTGGAACTCCATTTGCGTTATTTGTGTGCCGTTAAGCCGTTTCATTCTGTGACCTAGCGTCCGCCGCCTCATTTTTACCGGTTGTGTCTGCCGCGGACGTGACACGGGTTTTTCCCTAAAGATTCATCTTTGCACTTCTGGCTAGCTTCGCTGATTGAGACTTGAGGCGACCCAAGGCCGCGTCAGTGATGCAGGCTTACGTGACACCGCGTGATGCAGAACGAGCTATTGCCAGCGAACCCACTGCAGCACAGCTCGGAAACAGAATTTACTCAGTACAGCTGCTGTGCTCTGGTTCTGCTTGACCCACTAGGTTCTGGAGCTCCGTCCTTCATTTTTCCAACCTCATTCTAATGAATGTCGTAGCCATCAGCACTAGTAATGAAGGTCTCGGGCTGTGATATTCATTGTCTCTACTTCTAGTGCACACCCCTCGAGCATATCAAGCACACCGGTCTGCACCAGTATGAGATCTAGATATACCGCAACCATCACCATAACATCCCTCTCACACTTTCGTCCAGACGGTCTACTCCAAGTACATCCAGGTAGTAGACACCCTATCCTCGACCTCACCGAACCCACAGAGAAGGAAAGAAACGCAAAACTCGCACATGCCAGTAAAACACTACCCGAAGCAATCCATGAGTACCACCGTAGATTATCAAGAGCACCTCCACCCGGCTTCGATAGATGGTAAGTTACTCTCATCCCTTCATCCCTTGCTCTAAATCCCAGCAGGCGGGCTTACATCCAAGAACACAACATCCAGCTCCCAGACGAATACGACCAGATCAACCTTGATCTCACTCCTTTATAAACCCTGCCATCAGCGAGTCGTTTCGAGGTGTACAACGATCCGTCACAATCAGCGACAGTGCAATTAGGGGAAAGTAGCTCGGAAAGCTCTGATGGATGGTGTAGCTTCCAACAGATATCACATACGAAAAAATAGACAATAAATTGATCTGTTGATAGACCAAGTTGTCTGAGGAGGGCAGGGAGCGTGCGGGCAAAGTTATCGAGCCCCGGATACTCGATATCAGGGTTGGCCTGTTGAGCGGTGCGCAGAAGGCGCTCCTTTCCTTCAAGATCGTGATATACCGCCGCATGAGTAGCATTGTAGAAAGCTGCAGATATAAATGCACGTATGTATGCATTGCGGACTGCTGGGTGGTCATCCATGCATGACGGAGGGTCAGCGTGAATATCCGCTGCTTCTTGAACATCCGAGAAATCAAACTGGGTGCCCTGTGATACAAAGAGATCAATAGCGGCAACAGTCTCATCCTCACGGGGGACACCATCACCATCCTCAGGAAGAGCGCCAGGATCATCATCAGGAACAGCAGGATCTTCCACATCATCCTCTGGTGTATTGGATCGTCCAAGTCGCTGAAAGATTTCTTCATCTTCGTCAGTGCTGAAGTTATCTGGGCCTTGAACATTGGGGGGTTCATTCCACGTCTCGAAGAGGTTGTCTAGCAGCTGAGGATGGTCTAAGTTCACTTCCCCATCATCATCACTATGCGCGAATGGTTCGTCGGCTCCAAAGGGCTCATGCGCAGGTAGGTCATGCCCAGAAGCGACATCATCAACTGGTTCAGCGGCACGAGCCTCGCGGAGCTGCTGATCAGCGTCATGATGTCTTGCAGCTGTCTGAACGGCCTGTAGTTTCTGACCACTTGCATCAGGATTATCTCGACATCTGTAGCTCTCACAAGAGCACCACACATATGACAGCCTGGGCATCTGGAGACCCGGTAGGAGGATGTGGAAGCTGAGCTGAGTGACGACGTGCAGACTCGGAGATTGTTGATGTTGCAGTGAGTAAGCGCTGCGCACTGTGCGCAGCACACACGCATTAACATTGACTGCAGCGCCCGCGATTAATTCTATAAATCTTGAACAAGTAACCAACTGTGGTTATCGGGAGGATATGAGTCACACATTTTCGCCAACTGAATTTCGTCGGATTTTCAAATTCTCACACATTCTCGCCGGTAAATATTTTGCATCAAAGTCTGGTGTAAAAAAGTTACTTTTACTTTTGTCCGCTTCCCTACTATTTGATGTGAAAAGTTGGATATAAGTGAGTCAAAGTTAAACTCGAGATTTCCTGATGCATGAACTACTATACTAATTATGGCCCCGGTACTTAATGGCAGGTTAGGATGATTACAAGGGTCGTAATTGAACACACTCCTGCAGGTTCTACCGAAATTTCTGCCGTTTGACCTGAGCAATAACAATTCTGCCAAATTGATCAGAATCGTGCCCTATGATAGGTGTATGCAGGATATAAAAGCTGGCCGTCGTCCTACAGTGTTCCCCCATCCTCAGATAGTATTCAAGATCCCCTCGGAAGATTCCATATCACCTCGCACAGAAAATGCGTTTCTCCTTCGTCGCCATTGCTGCTGCTTTGACAGCATCTATGCATGTCAGTGCACAGTGTAACAGATATTGCAAAACAACTGCAGATTGCTGCACAAACATGGTTTGTGGATCTGACGTGAGTATGAGCAGGTCGCTGTGCAACCAGGATTCAACGGCATGACTCACCTGCGCGCCTTAGAATGGAGTTATGACCTGCTTTGCGGTTCAAAATTGAGCCGGCAGTGCGAAGGCCACGTGGGTACAGTAAGTTATGCTTCTGCTTTCGCTTTGGTACCATGGTTGACAGTGTAATGCCTAGTTCGCAGTCAATCAGTACAGTTGTTTTGGGACAAATTTTCGTATTGCTCGAGCAATGTGGATGTTTGCACTTATCTGAAAAATGATCGATTGTGTCTAGTCTTACTTGTGGTTCACTGAGCTTCAAGTCGAGTTCGAGGGGCTATCGAAGGTTCAACAGAACTCCAGCTAAAGCCGTTTCTGATATTATGGTTTGACCGGTAAATGATGTTAATTGGCTGACTACACTACTATCCTTTCCATGGACCAGAAGTTCTGGCTAGCTTCGCTGATTGAGACTTGAGGCGACCCAAGGCCGCGTCAGTGATACAGCCTTGGTAAGGCTTATGTGACACCAACACGGTGAGGCTTGATGCAGAATGATATGCAGCTCGCTATTGCCAGCGAACCCACTGCAGCACGGCTCGGAAACAGAATGTGCTTGCTACAGCTGCCGTACTCTGGTTCTGCTTGATCCCCTAATTTGCTGATGATGACTGCCTTCAATTCCTCACCTGCAGAACCTCCCGCCATTTCTCAGGGTCATAAAGTTGTTTTAGGGCACTGGGCAGCTATCCGTCAATCATTGCCCCAGGTCTCGTGATTTGTGAGTCGGCATGCAGTACTAGTTCTGGAGCTCCGTCCTTCGGTTTTCCAACCTCATTCTGATGAATGTCGTAGCCATCAGCACTGGTAATGAAGGTCTCGGGTTTCTATATTCATTGTCTCTACTTTTAGTGCACACCCCCCTCGAGCATATCAAGCACACCGGTCTGCACCAGCATGAGATCTAGATATACCGGAACCATCACCACAGCATCCCTCCCACACTTTTCGTCCAGACGGTCTACTCCAAGTACACCCAGGTAGTAGACACCCTATCCTCGACCTCACCGAACCCACAGAAAAGGAATGGAACGCAAAACTCGCACATACCAGTAAAACACTACCCGAAGCAGTCCATGAGTACTACCGCAGATACTCAAGAGCACCTCCATCCAGCTTCGATAGGTAGTACGTTACTCTCATCCCTTCAATCCTTGCTCTAAACCCCAGCAGGCTGGCTTATATTCAAGAGTACAATATCCAGCTCCCAAACGAATACCACCAGATCAACCTCGATCTCACTCCTTTCTAGGGTGTAAATCCTGCACGTCTGCAAGCAATCCAGCTCGCTCACGAAGACCACAATACAACTACATCCTCGCTAAATCAGCCCCTTAGGGCCTCTCCACATCGCAAACGAGTCACTCCCTGCAGATAAAGACGCTCGCCAACACTTATTAGTAGCTGTCAACCAGCTCCTAAAGTTGACGAAGGGCATGCAAGATGAGTTGCCGCTGTTTAGAGCTAGGTTTGGCCCTCACGATAAACCAAATGTCTTCGTAACCCATGACATGAGGAGCAAGGTTGTCGAGGGAAAATGCAGGCCCTTTCATTCCCCGACGGCATCGTGACGCAGACCCTCAATAAATCAATCGTGAACCTTGCGATGATGAATATAGCGTTCGCCGGCAAACCGGATCAGGGTGAGGTGGAGGTGTGTAAGGAGGTGGAGGAAAGGTGGGAGGAAAGGTGGGAGGAAAGGTGGAGGATGTATTGTCTTTGATGTGAATCGTCTTCTTTTCTTTTCGATATAGTTTTTTTTCAATGCATTGCTAGGTGTAGTTTTTACTAACGCGTTGGCAGATGGAAGATCGGAATGAGATACTCGGGATTCGAGCGAGCGTTCTGTGGTGACGAAGAGTAAGTCATCGATGCCTGTCAGCAGGTTGCAATACAATGTTCATAATCAATTGAACACCCTCCTGCAGGTTCTACCGAAATTTCTGCCATCTGATAGCGATAACAAATTCTGTCAAATCGATCAGAATGGTGCCCGTTAGTATACGCAAGATATAAAAGCTGGCGTTTGTCCCACAGTGTTCCCCAATCCTCAAAGATATCATTCGAGATCCCCTCAGATAATCCATATCACCTCGCACAGAAAATGCGTTTCTCCCTCCTCGCTGTTGTTGTTGCCTTGACAGCATCCATGTCTGTCAACGCATGTAGCGAAACACCTTGCAAATATGATGAAGATTGCTGCTTGAACTGGACTTGTGAACCTGATAACGTGAGTATGAGCAGGTCGCGGTGCAACCAGGATTCAACCACATGACTCACCTGCGCGCCTTAGAATGGAAAGATGACCTGCCAGTAGGTTGAGAATCGAGCCGATAGCCCGAGAAGCACGTCGCAACAGTGAGTCATGTTTCTGCTTTGGCTTTGATATCATGGTTGACGGTGCAATACCTAGTTCGGAGTAGATCAGTACAGTTGCTTTTGGACAAATTTTCGTACTGCTCGAACAATGCAGATGTTTGAACTTATCTGAAAATGATCGCCCCATGCCTAGTTTTTGTTGTGGTCCACTAAGCTTGAGTTCGAGAGGCTGTTGATCATTGTTAATGATAATTAATATTGGGAGGCCGTACGAAGATGGAACGTACTCGGGCTGCGCAGATAATCTGTTCGTTTAACGTTAGCCTCGAAGGCTAGCTCGTGGATCTGTTTCTTTGTGTGAGCCAACGACTCGGAAACACCACTAGTGTTATTGCTGATCGTGATTCATGATATATGTGTTATTTTCTGGTATATACTAGTCGAAGCCCAAGTTTATATGAGAGCGTGTGTCATTATGAAGGTGGAAAAAGGTCCAGGAGGCAACACCTACTATACGCGGTACTTTCTATCAAAGGGTAGCGTGGAGAGCCCGAGAGTGATTTCTTCATCGAGCGAGTGCTGGCCAGATGAGATGCAAGGGAAAGTTGAAACGGACACAACTGAGACTACACCGTCGCATAGATTATATTGCGTTGTCTGCATGTCTAGCTACAATTGTACCCGGACGTCGGTTTTCATGTTCTATTGAATTCAAATTGTGTTATCAGATCTGAATTACATCCCTGCGAGTCTCAGGTACCCTGAAGTTCTGCGAGGTTCTTCCCCTTAGACCAGGGAAACCAGAGGGTATACCGTAATTACAAATAAATGACAATACTCCTGATCGGATTTTGAAAATTTGTGCGGCTTAGCGGCAAAGTCGAAGAGCCAAACATCCACCATGCTGAGTGCTCATACTCACATCAATTCTACAAACATAGCTCTGCGCAGCAATCTGCATCTGTTTTGCATGTTGATGCAGATGTGCCACATGCGCTGACAAATATAGATGCAGTCAAAGCAACGACAACGCCGAGGAAGGAGAAATGTATCTTCTATGCGAGATGCTATGGAATCTTCTAAGGGAAATCTCAAATGATATCTCTGAGGATGGGGGAACGACTGCCAGCTCTGACATCCTCCGTATGCTAAGAGGCACGATTCTGATCGATTTAGCAGAATTTTGGTAGAACCTGCAATAGCGTGTTTAATTGATTACGGCCATTGTATCATAACCTGCCATTACCAGTGGGACTGAACACATTTGAAACACTCAGCAAAATCAGGCCAAACGTTCGTTGACAACACAGCTTCATCAAAGCTGTAGAAGCTGGGAAGTCCACCTGCCGTCGACATGCTCACATGCACACTCGTGAACAAGTGGGGATTGCTATTGAGACTGCACGGGATCTTTAGGCATCTTTCGCGTGGATACCTCCGCTCTCGATCAAGATTCGTGATGTGGATGACCTTTTTGGTCCAGAGAGTAGTATCTCCCCTGACGATGTTGCTGCCGAATTTCTGGCTCCCGAAGAGTTGAAGAGGACTAAAGAAGTTCAAAGCATTAGTGAAGTCAAAATGCTCCAAAGAATACTTTTGATTTCGATGAGTTTGATCCGGTTAAACAAGGAATAATACCACAGGCCATTCTAGATCAGATAGAGGTTGTCTAACTACAGTCACAAGCATGATGGTTGGAACGAGGCAACATTGATGTTATCATTAGGAACGTTTCACAATGCCAGCCACAGACGCAACCCACCATCATTTGCGCGTCAAGTCTCGCCCATATCGTGCCGCATCAAGCTTCGTTGTGCCGGTGTTGCGTAAACCTTACCAAGGCCGCGTCATTGATGCGGCCTTGGGTCGCCTTAAGTCTCAATCAGCGAAGCTAGCTAGCAGTGCAAACTGAGTACAAAGATTAATACTAATTAATCAGTGAAGCTGGCATTGCAAATCATGTCACGTCCGCGGCAGGCAGGCACGGCCGGCCGAAATGAGTGAGGCGGTGGACGCCAGGTCGCAGAATGAACCGGTTGTTCTTTCAAGACTAGCAACACGCAAATAGTGGCATGAGTGGAGAAATTTGGATTTCTGAATTGCAAAGAGTGGAGTGCTGCCAGCTGAGACAGTTCAAATGAGTGATTTATGCGAGAGAACTCACTATCATGAACTACTATACTAACTATAGCCCCAGCACTTAATGGCAGGTTATGATACAAGGGTCATAATTGAACATGCTCCTGCAGGTTCTACCGAAATTTCTGCCATCTGACGGGCCTGAGCAACAACAATTCTGCCAGATTGATCAGAATCATGCCTAGAAGTGTATGCAGAATATAAAAGCTGGCCGTCGTCTTACAGTGTTCCCCCATCCTCAGAGATACTATTCAAGATCCCCTCAGAATATTCCATATCACCTCGCACAGAAAATGTGTTTCTCCTTCATCACCATTGTTGCTGCTTTGACAGCATCTATGCATGTCAGTGCACAGTGTAACATACATTGCAAAACAACTTCAGATTGCTGCACAAACATGGTTTGTGGACTTAGCGTGAGTATGAGCAGGTCGCTGTGCAACCAGGATTCAACGGCATGACTCACCTGCGCGCCTTAGAATGGGGTTATGTCCTGCCTGCTGGTTCAAGATTGAACTGGCAGTACGAAGGGCACGTGGGGACAGTAAGTTGTGCTTCTGCTTTCGCTTTGGTACCATGGTTGACAGTGCAATGCCTAGTTCGCGGTCAATCAGTACAGTTGTTTTGGGACAAGTTTTCGTATTACTCGAGCAATGTGGATGTTTGAACTTATCTGAAAATGATTGATTGTGCCTAATCTTACTCATAGTTCACTGAGCTTCAAGTTGAGTTCGAGGTGCTGTCGAAAGTTCAAGTGTTGCCGGAGCTCCAGCTAAAGCCATTTCTGGCATTATGGTTTGACCGGTCAACGATGTTAATTGGCTGAATACGCTACTATCTGCAATCGACATCCCCGTTACAACGACAAAGAGAAACTAGGAGACGAGCAATTCATAGTCAGCCAACTAAAATGACAATGCTATCCATGTGACCCACAAAATTATTAGCACGTCTAAGCTTGATCTGGTTGTCCAGCACCAGTAAATGTCCCCCTGCCTTCGTACCACGCTTGAAACTCATCTGGAATCGATTGCATTTCCGGCGCATTCGTCGATAGGTATGTGGGGATGACCGATTGCTCCCTGTCCGCTTGAAGACTAAATAGTATTCGCGATGCAAGAATGCTATGCAAAACAATCTGAGGTCTAAAATGTCGAATATGAGCTTTTGACGACATATATATATGACCAAGCTAACGCGTTTAGCATCTCGCTGTATGAGAGCTAAGGATCTGCTCAGTTCTTTGGAGCCTACGTAATCAGGAAAGAACTCACAGGGAACACAGAGATGACAATCACATTAAGAGTGGATATCACTATAGAGATATCAGCACGAAAATCATAATAGCAATGGTGTTAATACTTGTGATGCAGGACATGTAGAGGAGTCTGTCACTGCAGACCCTTCAGTCACTTTGGACGTAGAAGTGGTGCCCCGGATGTGCCAAAAGGCTGTAGAATGTGTCCCAGCCAGTACCGGCCTGTCCAGGTAGATATGTGGCTGGCCGGTGTGTAGAGGTAGGCACAGCCAGTGTACCTTGAACCCGCAAGGTATGTAGCCTGTGTGACCACTCAGGCAGTGTGTAGAGCTAGGACTGGCCGATGTTTCCATATACAAGTGCTCGGCCAGCACTGCTCATACGACCACATATAAGGGTGCTGGCCGGCCATGTAGGGCAGGACCCAGCCTCTGGCCAGCACTCTTATGGACAGTTGTATAGGAGTCTCGGCCGAGCACATAGGGCAGGCACTGGCCAGCTTCACCAGGACCCAGCCTCCGGCCAGCCCTGCTCATACACCTATGTATAGGAGTACTGGCCAACTGTGGTAGGGCAGGGTCCAGCTCAGTGAGGACACATCCTCCGGCCAGCACTTGTATACATGGACGTATAAGAGCCTCGGCCGAGCACATAGAGCAGGTACTGGCCAGCACTTTTATACATGGTCGTATAGGAGCCCCGGCCGAGCACACAGGGCAGGTACTGGCCAGCTCAGCCATGACATAGCCCCCGGCCAGGACTGTTATACATCCCTGTATAAGAGTCCCGGCCAGGGGTATTGGGCAGGTACTGGCCAGCTTAGCCAGGACACAGCCTCCAGCCGGGACTCTTATATATGATCATATAAGAGCCCTGGCCGAGCACACAGGGCAGGTACTGGGCAGCTCAGCCATGACACAGCCCCCAGCCGGGACTCTTATACTGTGCTGTATAAGAGCCCCGGCCGGGGGTATAGGCCATGTGCTCATTTTACAAGCAGGAGGCTGGCTGAACTGGCCAGTACTTGCACTACATGACCGGTGAAGGTGAGGAATCTTGACTATAGGTGAAATGCTAAAGCTAACGGGGGTTCTACAGTAAGACCAGGATACGAGAATACGACTCGACCCAAAGGACAGCTACTGAGAGAAGTTCCTCTTTAATGTAATGGAGGGAGTCTTCGCCAACTAGACGGGTGGTAACAGGCGCGCGAAGGCGCGAGAAGATAACGCGCGCGTAGGCGCGAGTAAGCAATGCGAAGGTGCGCAAAGGGCGCGCGCGAGCGAAAGATGCGAGGGGCGCGTGCGTATGCGGAAGCGTGCTTTTGAGCGATGGGGGAGAGTGTTCAAGTATAGCAGATGCGCGAGCGATGGTAGAATAGTGAAGTATAATCGGATTTCAAATACTAAGGTGCACTTATACAATTTGCAGTATACTCAGATAAGGGAGAAGGGAAGGAAGTAAGTTAAAAGGAACTTTCCCTCTATTTAAGAAGGGAGATTACGCTATGCAGCACACTTCCGAGCGTGGTACCGAACCAAGTAACCATATCAACTCTAAATATATTCTAAAGCCTATGATAGACTTTCTGTATGTAAGCGCGGAGATTGGACCGAAGGTACGTCAATTCAGTGAAAGGGATAAGAATAACGCATCAGTAAATCAGCGAGGACATAGGACGGATGGACGGACAAGGGTACGAAGGCCTAAGGGGAGGCGCACGAGCGCGCGCGAAAGGCGCGAGTGCGTGTAAGGCGCGCGAACGAGGTGCGTATGTAGGGCGCGCGCATGAGAGCGCGTATGACTGATCCTTCGGATAAGAGCTGGAACGTGTAGGGAATTATGTGGGTAATAGGGCCGTATATTCCGCATTGAGAGGCGCGAGTCTCTACACCGGCCAGCACCTTTATACATGCCAGTCATGTAGTGCAAGTACTGGCCAGCACAGTATAAGAGTCCCGGCCGGGGGTATAGGGCAGGTACTGGCATGTATAAAGGTGCTGGCCGGTCATGTAGAGCAAGTACTGGCCAGTTCAGCCAGCCTCCTGCTTGTAGATGAGGTCTAAGGATCTTGAGTGGCCATGTCAACTATATACTGGCCACCTTATAATGTATATTACTTTGCCTAGTAATATCCACTAGATTTACGAATGAAAACAGCAACAATACAATGTGCTATGCTATGTCACTTGCGCATGGCCTTTTTGGACGGCTGTCTGGCTCTGCTGGATCGACGAATATTGTCAGTGGTAGGCTTTTTGGATGGTCTTCCAGATCCCCCAGACTTTCCTCTTTTCTTCCCTTTCTGCACTACCTCCTCCTCCTCCTCCTCCTCAGCCTTCTCCGGCTCCTTACCCTCACTGTCCTTTTCGTTCGCCACTTCCACCAGTTTCAACAGCTTCTGGTTCTCCTCCTCCAGCTTTCGCTTTCTCTCCTCCAGCTTTCTCATGTCCTCCTGCAGCATCACCATTTTCTTCTTCTGTTCCTCTGTCTCGCGAAGTTCCTCTTCAACCTTCCTTCTCATCTCATCTTCCTCCCTTTGTTTCTCATCATCCACTTCCTCTTCCCTGGTCGAAATAGTCTGAGCGGCAGTATCGGTACCATGTTCTTCTCCACCAGCCTCAGTAATGGCAGCATGTTGTCCCTCCTTCGCCTTGACCATGCGGGTGACCCCACCTCTGGCTGTGTCTATTGCCTCTATAACGAGGTCAAGGGTCTTGATACCCAAAATAGAGGTGCCAAGGTAAGAAGGGGTGTTGGGGGTAGCGTCGTCCGCCTCATACTCGATGACTCGCTTACATTCTCTTAGCAGCATCCCAAGACCTAGGCCGACCTTCATGGCTGACGCCAAGCCAGATATCTTCGCAGACGAGACTACCTCAAAGAACGTGTCCAACTCACTAACCTCTGAGTGTACACTGTTTGGAAGGTGCGATCCCTCCCAAGACCATGTCGCCCATGCAGGCCATTCGGTTGCCTCAGAGCTTTGTTCCTGCATCGGGTGAGTGTCAAGTTTCACCAATCTAGGTAAAAATCACAAGCGTACCTTTTTCAAGCCACCAATACTCGAAATGAGAAGCAGATACTCTCTGTTGCTGCTGAGGGATCGTAAGAATGACATTCGATCTTTCATTGGCACAGTAGCTGGTGTGCGTATGCCTTCTTGAGCAACTGACGGTCGAGCGACGAGGCCTGCTGATGGAGCTAGATTATCATCAGAGCTGTCCTCGGAGCTGTCCTCGGCCAGCCGTCTTGTACGTTTCACGGGTGTAGGGGCAGCTGAGGCTCCTTCTTCATCGTCGACTTCTACGTACTTCTTTTTGATTTCTTCTCGCCTGCATAAACAGCATTTTCGAGCAGGGACTTGTTCATGTGGGCACTTGCAGCTCCGACAAAAATAACGAGTCTCTGCTTTGAAGCCTTCCGGGCTTCCCAATGGCCCCAAAGTTTGTTGATTTCCTTCACTCTCAAATGAGATGGGTCTTGCACGGTAAAACCATTGGGGATGGAGTCTGGATCCAGGTACAGCAAAGGCTCACCGGCGATTGAGAGCCAAGGTACTGGCTTCATGCTACCAGTGAAGACTTCTGAAAAACGGAAGGTGAGTCAAGTTAAAATCGACAAAGACGAAGTAATCAACAACTCGCTGTAAGATGCATGAAAAATTTGCCGAACCAGTTCTTGTTGCCCCTTGAGGCTCACTTCCTTACGAGAAGGGAGCTTTGCGTAACCGTGGTTATCCAGGATGACTTCGGGCATTGCATCCTTTCCATCATTCGTTTCTTCATCGGAGGAGTCATCATCATCATTGGTGGGGTCTGATACACGGTCATTGAGCAGTCTGAACCGATCCAAAAAAAATACAAAACTCACAGAATTCAGCCTTTGACCACTCGGCATATTTTTCAAAACCTTCAGACGTCCATTCTTTGCTTCCTCGAGAACTCTGGCTAAACGATTTCTTCTGATTGACAGGCTGAGACTCATGACTGAATAACAATAACATTGTTAGTTTACACTGAGGAGAGTGTATAAATACTCACATCTTGACACTTAAAGTCTGATCGGCATTTTTCTTGTGACTGACCAACATCACGAGTCGGCAACCCATAGTACGACGAATCTGTTCTGTAAAATCATCAAGAATTTTTTTGAGGTTTTTCTTTCGATACCTGCCAATATAGTTAGAGTAGAAATTGAACAAAAAATGACAATTTACATCGCCTGTGATTCTGCTGGGGCGCCATCCCTATTCCACTTGTCCCTCGCCTCCTCAACCTCCTTCCGATGTGCAGAGGTCATGCTGTTGAACCATTCCCTCGCATGTCCAGTCCTATACTTAATAGAATGTTGTACGCCTTTCTTCTGTTGCTGCTCCTTATCGTAGTCGTCCATCTCCTGCTTAAAGAGTTTCTGTGCGACGTCCCAAGCGTTAAGCTCCTTCTTGTAGAACCCTGCGTCCTTAGGACGAGCCACCAACTCTCTGTCCTCAGGGGACATGCCAAGTTCTTCCTCCAGCTCTGAGTCATCTCCCAAGATCTGTTGCTCATCACGCCGATCATCAGCGTCCGTTAAGAACTGGAGGTAGTACCTCCGGATAGCCTATATATCAAGTATGTCAGCACCATTGTATACTCAGGATGAACAGTACCTTTTTCAATCCCTTTGGTAAATCCTCGGGATCCTCTCTTGTGTGATGAATTGCGACAATTTCATTGCGGATCTGTCTCAGCAAATTGTGACAGGAATTCTTCCCATTTACAAACTGATCTTTGTGGAGAGTCAGTACTCCCTCCCAAGAAGCATACCATTCAGCCATTGATGACACGTTGTATAAGTCAGGAGCTTTCGGCAAGGGTGGGTATGCGTCGCGTAACCTTAGACCAGGCCGAAAAGTTGAAATTTTGAAGGAGACGCGATCACGTGCATGCAAACCAAGACGCGTCGTTACCAAATCAACCGTGTGACAAAGTGATAACTCAATTCAAATTATGTACATACACTGTCAAGTAAATACCCAAATCACCTGCGCGCCTTCTTGGCAGTCCCAGTAGGCACCCCCTCATTCATGCGCTTGCCTTGGGTAGACACAGCTGAAGACTGAAGTACAAAATGAGTAGAAGGCGACTGGAACCAAGCGCAGTTCTTGGTCTTTGCGCTGTTGACAATTGACCCAGGAGGCTTGGTGACGGACAACTTGTAGGGAGGCAACTTTTGCATGCTACCACAGTTGGTGTACTTACATGTGTAGATGTACCGGCAAACAGAGACACGGTCTGGGGCGTCCTCGTCGCGACTCTTATCAG